TATTATTCTTTCTTTTTACCCTAATTAATCTTATACCGCCTTTTTATTCTATGCTTTTACTTGGAGTTGGTAGCTAATTAGTTTCCTCTTTTAATTAACTTTATAATTTTTAATTTAATAATTTTCTTTTTCATGACATATTGACCTTGGATTATATTAATAATCCTATATATTATAGTTTTTTTGACCTATGGTTAGGTTTGTTAAAATACGGTTATTATGAAATTTTCAATTACACGAGTGGGTCATTGTGAGGGTTGGACGTAATGGTGTTATTGTCGTTTATCAATAATCCATCTGTAATTATTTCATTACTTTAATTAAGCATGGGTAGAAAATTATTATTTTGTACTTTTAAAAATAATTCCAATTATTAATACATGTATTGCACCATGGTTATGCAATTGGCAAATCTTAATTGTCGTATGAGTTAGAGGTTTAACAGTGCTTATAGATCCCTTTCAATAGATATTTAATATATGGTGGACATTATTTATCTTCAAGTTTATTTCCAACTAGTATGGATGATTAATTTTCTTTGTATTTTAGTGTATTCTCGAGCATCATGTGGGATCTCAATGGACGAACTTAATCCTCCTAATTTAAGTCTGATCCTAACTTTTTTTTTTTTTCCAAATATTATTGTAACCATTAGATCTATTTGAGATTTCCTCAGCTTATGAGCTGGTTCCCTTAAAAACCACAGATTTACGCGTCATTGTGAATCAGCAATATACGAGACATGTATATATAATACTGAATATAAAAAGACTTAAAATTATGTGATATTGTGTATATGTGTGACAAAGGGTAGTGTCCAACCAATAAACCCACCAATTCATCGAAAGCAATGGTTGCAAAATATGTGTGCCTACTGATCTAGGACTGTTGAAGTCTTAGTTCATTGAAAACGACATAACAAATTTGTTATACAAATAATTATATATGTATTATATGTGACAAATAATTTGATTGGGTTTTTCTAGTCATTATTCAAACGTAGAAGAAAGGTAATATAAGGACCATAAATTTAATTTATAAAAACTTAGGGTTATAATATAAATACTAATAATAAGGTGCAAGTTGAAAGCATGAAGTGTACTATCTGTCCCGCACCATTTAGCTTGTTTAGGGGTGGGACTTTTCAAACCGAACCGTGAAACCGTCCGTTACCGAACCGAACCATCACGGACCGAACCGTTTATAACCCGCTAATTTTAAACCGAAAACCGAACTGAACTGTATAATGTCAAACCGAAACCGAACCGAACCAATTAATGTTAACCCGTTACGAACCGTAAACCAATAACAAACCAAACCGTTTATAAACCGAAATCGTTTGAACCGATTAATGTTAACCCGCTAACTGTTTAAACTGAACCGTTTATAAACCGAAACCGTTTAAACCGTAGGAAAAACCGTTTAAATCGAACCATTTACAACCCGCTAACCGTTTAAACCGAACTGTTATAGCCCATTAAACCGTTTAAACCGAACTATTTTCAAACCGCAACCCGTTTAAACCGATCCGATTACAAACTATTTAAACCGAACCGTTTACAACCCGTTCCATTCAAATTGAACTATTTACAGCCTTTAACAATTTGTTAGAATTCCATGAAATATATTTGATGTTTAATGTAATTTAACAGTACAATTTTTTTTACATATAATTATTGATTTAAATTTGTAAATTTTTTTGCTATTATAAAATTAAAATTATATTCTTGTATAACTAAATTAGGAGTTATAAATTAAATAAAAAAATGAAAAAATTTGGCCACCCACCCAATCCAACCACCCTCCACCCACCCACCACCGTAACCCACCCTAACACCACCCCCGCCCGTCACCCCAGACCCACCCTAACACTACCCCCACCCACCACCGTTACCGTAACCCACCCCCACCCCACCACCGTTACCGTAACCCACCCCCACCCCACCAACGTCAACCCAGACCCACCCTAACACCACCCTCGCACCCACCATAATTACCGTAACCCACCCCACCCCACCACCCACCGTAAATAAAAAAACCCAGACCCAAACCTTACCCCACCCCATCCACCACCGTCACCGTAAATAATAAAAACCCAGAACCATACCCCACCCCACCTACCACCATCACCGTAACGTACCCCACCCCACCCACCACCGTCACTGTAAAAAAAAAAAAAAAAAAAAAAAAAAAAAAAAAAAAAAAAAAACAGACCCAACCCCAACCACACCCACCACCGTCACCGTAACACACCCCACCCCACCCCATACAAAAAATTCGAAAAAAAACCCAAACCCACCGTAACCCCACCCCACCCACCCCCACGAAACCCAACATCCTCGAAACCCCCCAACTCACTCTAATTGCTCACCCACCATAAAACTCCCTCCCTCCATCGAAAAATCCTCCCTTTCCACCCACCCGAACCCAGTCTAACCGCCGCCGCACCCATCCTAACTCGGCCCCCTCCGTTGCCCACAACTTGAAAAAAAATTAAAAAGAAAAACAGAAAATAAAAAAAGGAATAACGAAAACACCTTATATATTAATCCTGAATTTGGCCTCGAATTTGGTTTTAAAAGGCCAAATTCGATCATGAAACAACTAGATCTAAAGTTTCGTGGTCGAATTTGACCATAAAAACCGCCGTGCGTGGTGCCGGTGGACGGAGACGGAGAAACGAGATGGAAGAAAGGAGAACATAGACGGAAGAAGGGAGAAGAAGGAAGAAGAAGAAAGGAAGAAGGAAGAGGAGATGAGAGAGAAAACGAGAGAGCAGTGAGCATATTAGCAGCCATGGCTTCAAAAAATTGATAATATTACAGAAGAGGATTAAGAAAACGAGAGAGAAATCAAAAAGAGTACTAAAGAGACGATGGTAAGAGTGATCTGATTGGTGGAAAAGAAAACACACGGATCGTGAATTGGAATGTGTGCGATGATAGGTCGTTAGATGACATGCAAATCAATGGCTGATATTTAATATAAGACGGTGACACGGATCATGGGATAATGGATTTGGATAGTATGTTTTTTTTTATTCATAGCTACGTACTAATAAAAACACTACTGTACTCTTAACTTTATGTAACTTATAAATTGTAAGAAACACAAATGTTTGGAAATTGGAATTGATTCAATATGACATATTTAATGTATATTAGTTATATGTATATCAGTATATATAATAAATAATAATGTATGGTACGATTGGTATCATACTATCATTGGTATGTATAGATAATCGATAAATGTATCTGATTATTAAAACTTAAAACAGTTGATGATCGATCTAATTGAATACTTCTACTTCCCCACCTGTTTTCTTTAACTTGCAAGTTGCAACATATATATGTTGCAGCCTTGTAGGCACGTAATCTTAAAAGGTGATTAGAGAGGGTAAGACAACAAAGTAATTCAGCAATATAACTTTAACACCAAAATTATGGAATAGTTACAAACAATTGTCAATTATTACTTTATTAAACTAATGGGAAATTGAATAATCGTGATTTTAATTAAACATCCAAATATAGTTCCGTAACATTAAATTATTAGTTTATTACAATATCAATTATCGATTTATCGTATTCAAAGTACCAATTCATCAAATCATGGTTATGACGCGATCTTTAAAACAATTAAAACAAGAAGTTGATAGCCTGATAATATTTGATAATGAAACAATAATACATTAATACCTTATAAATTTGTAATAGACTAATATTTAATAAACAACAACAAGACTATAACCAAATTTGAAACATAACACATTAACATGATATAGAATGAATGAGAATTTCTGTAATTCTATATAATCTGATATCTGAATCGATTTATCGTATTCAAAGTAGCAACTCCTCAAAACATGGTCATGACACGATATCTAAAACAATCCAACAAGAGGCTGATAACCTAATAATATATATTTAATAATGAAACAATAATACATTAATACATTATAAATTTGTAATAGACTAATATGATAATATCGAATAAACAACAACAAGAGTATAACCAAACTTGAAACATAACATATTAACATGATATAGAATAATTGAATAAATGAAGATTTGTGTAATTGTATATAATCCGATTTCTGAAAATAAAGTGACGAAGTCCCAACTTTATAAAAAACGAAAATAGCTAACCGGTCAAAAATCTCTTAAAACCCAATTTCTACTCGATCCATTATTTTTTTCACCAACCTATGCCGACCCGCTAATGAAATGGAAATACTAGTCCCAACTTGATATAAAACAAAACGCGCTAACTGGTCAAAACCACTTTTTAGAACTCGATTTCAACCCCATCCAATTTAACCGATTACCAAACTAACCCGAACGATTTTAGCACCAAACCGAGTATAAACCGAACCGATATGAATCGAACTAGCATTAACCCGGGTAAACCCGCCCCTGAACCGACCCATTTCAAAATAATCCGTTCATGACCCGAACCGATATGAACCCGGACCGACGTTGACCCGGTAAAACCGCCCCTGAACCGATCCGTTTCAAACCGGTCAGATCATGACCCGAACCGTTTATAAACCGAACGGGCATTGACCCGGGTAAACCCGCCCCTGAACCGACCTGTTTCAAACCGACCCGATTATTAACCGAACTGTTTAAAAACCGAACCGGCATTGACCCGAGTAAATCCGCCCCTGAAGCGACCCGTTTCTAACCGATCTGATTATGACCCGAACTGTTTATAAACCGAACCGTTTATGACCCGAACCGAATTTAAATCGTACAAAAATAAACAGAAATCGAACCGACCTGTGACTAATCAAAACCGAACTGAACCGACCCGCCGTCTAAATGAAACCGTTTTAACCCGAACCGTTTCAAACCGAAACCGTTTCAAACTGAGGTCAAACCGAACTGCCAGACCGAAGTCCCACCCCTAAGCTTGTTATAATGACTTTAAACAATGTCGTCGTTTCATACTTGTTATTTTGCGAGTATCTTCCTCGAAGTTATTGCACGTAAATCACTTGTTATTATGTTAACGGTTTTAACCTTTTTATTATTCATCTTCCTACTTTTCGTTTATATATAGTATTAAATTTAATTCGCCAAACGACCCAAAACAGTACGTTTGCTGGTTGGTGTTACATATATACGGGTGATATATATATTATCGTCCCATAATTTTTTTTCTGTTCACTACGTTGTCGTGTTAAATTGATCCATCGAGTTGCTTTAATTTCCTCCTTATTTGCTTCCTTTTTATTAGTGGCTATTGAGAGCTCACACATTCGTGTGGCCGAGAAATAATATGAGGACTCGACGGGGAAGGCGGTCAGATCAGGTATGTCCGACCTGTTACTTGTTTCAGTGTCGATAAATGATTTTAATGTAATTTGTTTCATCCAGTCGATAGTACAACATAACATATCGACGTTTTTTTTTGGTGTTTTTTAGGCATTTTGGCCTTCCCTGGTTATGAAGAAATGGCTTAATATTAAGCCGAAGGAGTATGAATTTAGCGAGGATGATTTCGATACTGAGACTGAAAGCGAAGATGATCGTGATGGTGTGTTTCATGTCTATTCAATTTTACGAGTTACTAGTTATTTTCGCGGTGTCTCTCTCTTCTAACTTGGTGTTTTTTATTTTATTGTTTTGGGAAATTTTTAGCATTTACTTACAAGGAATCCAACCTCAAGGATTCTAAAGACCTTTTACATGGACCTGAAAGAATTCCATCCCAATCTATGAGTACAGATCAAATTACAGGTAATAATAATTGGATTTTATTTTTAAATTTGTTCCAATTTAAGTATAAATTGAAGTTTTGACAATGTTTCGGGTATGAACATAAGCGTCTGTGTTCATACCCGAAACCCGGTCATTCAAGCTAAGTTGAATATAATGGCTGTTGATTCAATTAGTCTTGGTGCAGTGTCAGTTTATGAGCCAAATTAAGCTAGGATTATTTACAAGAGATAGAAAAAAAAAAAAAAAAAAAAAAAAAAAAAGGAAGTTTCGCCAAAAATGTGAAATTATACATGCTCTAATCATTTGTTTGTTTCCATCCCTGTTCAGACAAATTACCTACTGAACGTGCTTCTCAATTAAGACACAGAAGAGGAATTTCCGAAACGCTTCGAGTTGAATACATGAAAACTAAAGATGTGAGGTTAGATCATCGTCGTAAGTTTGCTCATGTTAAATTCATGTATAAAACATAGCTACACATTATACTGTCATTTTAATAATTTTTTCTCTCATTTAAAGCATACATATGTAGTCTTGTACTTGTTATTAGAAAAAAAGATATACACGATAATATTCATCTTATAAGTTAGAGGAGTTATTATATACATATTTTTACGCGTCGCTCCCTAACAAATTGATATGTTATGTTATGCAGAGTGACAATTGGGACATGGAATGTTGCGGGTAGATCTCCATCTGATGATGGTCTTGACATAGATGACTGGCTTTGCATGGAAGAACCAGCAGATATCTATATTATTGGGTAATTAATTTTTAATTATACTACTATTTAGTCTATTTTTTTTAATTATTTACTTTGTACTCCCGTATGAGATACTGAAATAGTGGTCCGGTTATACATGTGGTCCCAGTAATCTAAAAATTATAATCCTTATATCTGCAACCATATCTTGAATTATAACTGTTCACATCTCTTGTTGAGAACAAAGGGGACTTAATGTTGTGTCTTCATCTTGTATGTTTGGTGCTTCAAGTTTAGTGGTCGCTTGGTAGGACATAGCAGATATTTTTACTTCTGTTATCGGAGGTATAATACCCTATTCTAGGAAGATTTAGACTCGTGTAACAGGATAAGCTTGTTAAGATCTTAACTCGATTCAATAATAGGTAACCGACCGTATATATAGTATATGTATACTAAACAAACACTACTTAGGATTATACGTATCTATATTGACAATGGGCGGCTCATTTAGTAGTTGATTCGTCTATTCATCTTATTTATTTTTTTTAAAAAAAAATTAATTAATTGTGCATGTGTACTATAGCATCAAGCTGTTTACTATAATATTACCAAGTTCCGCGTTGAATTTGGAAGAATCAAATTGATGCCTAATGTCAATTTGGCTTTATTTTTATAATTAATTGTGTCAAAGCATTTAGCTAGCTTTGACTCTTTGAGGCTTTCATAAATAATAAAGCATGTATTCGGCGGTGAACAAAGAGATTAAAAATACCCATTTGTCTTGCTGAGACTTAATTAAATAAATCACTATTTTTAAATACAATTGACGTATTAAATAATGAATATAGAGTTTAGTCACTTTAAATCACATGAAAGTTTTTCACAATATTAACTTTTGTATATCATTTTTCGGCCATTCTTTTATACTAATAGAAAAACATTTACTCTAGTAAAAGTAGCAATATACAAGTATAGAATAAACTAATAGTTAGTGGTCATTTGATTAGCGTATAAAATAGAAAGTTTCAACATCCGTAAACGTTGAACTTTATAGCATCTTCTTTTGGTTGGAAATCAAAATATCTACTTTCGTAGAAGTAATATTGACCTTAGAGAGACTAGATAAGCCACGATTGGGAGATAACATAAAAAAAAAGGTTAAAAGCTATCCATAATTATCCATTTGTAGGAAGCTTTGTTGTGTAGACGTGTAGTTATGTTAGGTGTTTCACCTTGACCATTCTATTTTTATATATCATCAACTTTTTGCCGCTCAAAAGTAGATTTGTGTGAATAAATTCATGACATTCATATCTTTTTACCTTCTCTTAATGTTTGTGTTACAAGTGTAGGGATGCCACTTTCCCTCCCTTGTTGTTGGCAAGCACTTGAATTGGTAGTTACTCCGTAATTGTAATCAAACACGTATTATTATTGACAAAAACTTGTTTGTCCCGCTAATTCAATTCAATTTATTAATTAATGGCATGCTATACTTTAATTTCTTCTAGTTCTTTGGGTATGACAACTCATGATTTTATCAATGTTAATCAACAACTCATCAATTCAAGTAGTGGTATGCAATTCATATACGCTAGGATTTTTTCCTGTAATGTTTATCATATACATACGTGTTACAATACTTATTTTAGTGGAGATTAACTTTTTGGTACGCTGTAATAAATGACAAAGTAAGATGGGAAGATAGGCCCCAAAATACAAACCAATCAAATGCTGTCAACAATGGTTATATATGGACCACCACATACAACCGTTGTATGTGTAGCTTTTTCTGAAATTACTACTTTGTGGTAACATAACAAAATCCGTGTATGTTTTTCTGTAACGAGCCTTAAATCTCAAGGGACAAAGAACTAATTTGGGTGCATTTTTTGTATGGCAGTTTTCAAGAGGTAATCCCTCTGAATCCAGGAAATGTTCTAGGAGCAGAGGATAACAGGCCAATTTTAAAATGGGAATCATTCATCAGAAAAACCCTGAACAAAACTTCTGAACCTGAAATAGACTACAAAAGTTACAGTGCACCCCCTTCTCCAATCTTAAGGGCATCCTCTACATTAGACGGTCTAGCAATCGAGGTTGATGTCCCTTCACTCGGTCTAGCTAACGAGGAATCCTTAAAGAAACCGAACCATGATCTTGACTTGGGAAGACATGAACTTACAGGAAAATACAGTGAAGAAACAAAGGCCTTAATTAAAAGGATTTATGGAATTGACAGTGACAGAAGGATAGATTGGCCTGGACATTCATTAGTCACAGTGCCTTCTAATCTGTCTTCATCTTCAACTCTCAAGTTACGCCGAGTTTTGAGCAGTTCAGGAATGTCAGGAGTCTCATGGATGGGAAATCCTTTAAGTTTTGATCCTAACTTGATACCGAATAATGGAGGGTTAAAAAGGATTCATCCTAGTCTCGCGAATTTGCTGATTGAGGAACAGCCTGAGAGGTCTGAAGACTCTCATGATTCTGCATCAGATGCTTCTGGTGAATTTTCTGCAGAAGAAGATGATTCTTTATATGGGTTACCAGAGGACAGTCCACCTAGTTTCACAAATGGTAATACTCGTCGTAAGTATGTTCGAATTGTCAGCAAGCAGATGGTTGGTATATATGTTTCTGTTTGGGTTCGGAAGAAGTTGAGAAGACACATTAGCAACTTGAAGGTCTTTCCTGTTGGTGTGGGTTTTATGGGTTACATGGGAAACAAGGTAACATAACTTGTGACTTTTAAGGCTAGGCATTCGCGTTTTTAACTGACAAGTAATAATACATTGATAAATTAGTATGTTAAAGTGGACGAATAATAAAGTGGTTTAATTTTATGTGTGCAGGGCTCAATATCAGTTAGCATGTCTCTGTATCAGTCGCGTATGTGCTTTGTTTGCTCTCATCTAACTTCTGGTCACAAGGATGGAGATCAAAATAGACGCAATGATAATGTATATGAGATCATTAAACGTACGCGATTCACATCAATCGTTGAAGATAATCAGCCACATAATATTCCATCTCATGAGTAAGCATTTTTTATCAAGCTTCATTTGTCTGAAAGTCTGAGGCTACTGTATGTTTTATGAGATTTCTAATATGGTTTTTACTGTTAACAGCCAAATATTCTGGTTCGGCGATTTGAATTACCGTCTCAATATGTCAGACCATGAGATAAGAAAGCGTGTTGCTAAGAAAGAGTGGAATGAGCTCATCAATAGTGATCAGGTGAGGTTTCTGACTGAAATTTACGCCGTGATTAGCAAAACATCATCCATCATCTAATATAACTGCACTGTAATATACTATTGAGTATATATTGACAGTTACAAAAAATTTTAACAGCTAAGCACAGAGCTTCGCAGTGGGCATGTTTTTGATGGATGGAAGGAGGGTCCTATAAATTTCCCGCCTACATACAAATATGGCATCAACTCGGATAGATATGTTGGCGAAAACCCAAAAGAAGGGGAGAAGAGGAGATCACCAGCATGGTAAGTAAACCTGCTATCAGATTGATAAAAATCTGTCAGATAATATTTATATCAGATAACATCAGATTAGATTAGATCAGATTGATTCTATTATTACATTTTTAAAGATCGAAAGGAGCTTGATAATAACAGATGTTCTTTGCTGTTGTGCAGGTGTGACAGGATACTGTGGTCAGGAAAGGGCATAAAACAGCATTTCTACAGAAGAGCAGAAATAAAGATATCAGATCACCGTCCTGTTAGTTCCTCGTTCTCAATCGAAGTTGAAGTTTTAGACCCAAGAAAACTACAAAGAACTCTACATTACAACACTGCAGCAATACATCCAGAGGTCTTTCCTGATGAGGACGAGATCTTTTAGTGTTCGGAAATAACAGGTAAATGCATCAGCTTGTTTAACTGAATACACGAAAATTTCAGTCCATTTCTAACTGTTTTTCTGTGCTTAAGAGATATAAAGAAAATTCTGACAATGAAGTTCCTATGTACTTGCAGGGTGAACATTGTTTAGAAGACTAATTATGTAATGATATACTGTAAATGGGAGAGTTCGGATCAGTGATCAGTCATCTGACTAGAGATTTTCGACATTCTCCTGGACTTATAGTTGAAATCTGTTGCGTTGGGTGTGTGATCGTTGTTAAGGACATAAAAGAAAAAAAAAATCATATAAACAAAGGTGTGAATTGTGAGGTATGTTGTGTAATGTTTGATTATACATACTTATATAGCGCACAGTTCTCACATAATTAGCAGTTTCGTTTAAAGCAATCAAAAATTGTACAGCAAAAAGTTATAGAAATTCTTTTGTTTTAGAAAGTAACATAAATAATGTACTTGAGTAGTATGCAAGTGCACCAGTTTTGTAAAATCTGTGCTACTTGTGAGCTTGTATTATATATATATATATCGTTTGTTCGTTCTTGGTTCGAGTTTGATTTCCATCGCTTTCGTTTATAACTTAGCTCTTCAATTCTTGGAGAGGCAGATAAAGAAAGTGAGCATTTTAGCACTGTGGCATACATATCAGTTGGTTATTATTTGATTACTTACTGTGTGGCTTTCAATGAAGCTCCCACTAGAAAATGCTTGGGTGGTTAGATGTGGTCACCTTACTATTGTGATTACATACAACTATGCAAGTGGAAGTTGTTAAGTTCATTAACTCAAGTAGTTTGTGTTTGAAGATCAACAACTTTACAACAACTAAGTCTATAATGTTGGTTTGCATTTTAATTAGTACATCATACTCGAACTAATGATGATACGAATTATATTTTGAGTACCCATCATTGTTTTCCGTAAATCTTTTATTATACTTGGTAAATTATGAGTTTGTGGATTTTTCCATTCAAAAAATAATGGCCGAACATGACAATAGTATTATTGTAAAAATCAAAATGTAACATCAGTTGAACACACTCATAATATTTTAGTGACTAAAACTAGAGTGATATAAATGCGTGTAAAGCTATGTTAGAGAGATTGTTTAAGCAAAGATTGGTTACAAAAAGACGTTAAGAGCAACTTGAGCAAATTTTATTGCTTTGACTCAAACGTTTGGTAAAATTAGCTACATCAAACTTTGATTACAGAAATATTAGTATATGATATGCAGGTCAGAGTAGCAAAATGCAGACAAAAAATACAGCACAGAAACATTAAACTATACTCAATCTCAAGCACAAGAACCAAAGCAAAACCCATCAACAATGGAGTTTGGTTTGAATTCATACATATAAGACATGTAAAACATTACAAAACATAATTACTTTCTTCTAAAATATGTCAATTGGTAATTACTTATATTAGTTATATACATAGCTTAAAGATCTTAACATTGAAATTCCAATTTCTTTTTACTATTTTTCAGTGTAATGGCCTTCATGAAACTACTGTTGGTTATTTTGATTGTAATGAATTACATCGAAACCTCAAGCCAAAATCTTGTACTTGACTATTACAAGGAATCATGCCCTTTATTGGAAGAAATTGTGAGGTACGTTGTGAAGACTAAAGTGCTAAGGGAGCCTCGAGTAGCGGCTCAATTACTGAGGCTGCATTTCCATGATTGTTTTGTGCAGGTAACTTCAGATGATAAACTCCACCTAATAACTTCAAGTGTTATAATTGAAGTCAAGTTATTACTAATCATTATGGGTGTCTTTCTGTTGCACCTTGTTAATTTGTTGAAGGGATGTGATGGATCGGTATTGTTGGACAGCAATGGTGGGATTGTTAGCGAAAAGGGAGCAAAACCAAACAAAAATTCACTCAGAGGTTTTGAAGACATTGATGATATTAAGGCTGCAGTAGAAAAAGCATGTCCATGGACAGTCTCTTGCGCTGATATCGTTGCTATTGCTGCTCGTGATTCTGTTGTTCTGGTATATCCTCTTAGGCTCAAACCCCTCTTAATATTTTCAGCACACACATGATCATCCGGTTCTAAGCTAACTATAAATTATCTGACCTACAATAATAGCAAAGAATTAAGTGGTTAAATTATACAATATCACATTAAGCTACACTGATAATATAGAATCAAAAGATCCAAACTTACAAGCTAAGACAAGCTCATTATAAACTGGACTCAATCTAAATGACCCGTTAGCTGCCTCCAAATTCAACACAATAGAACATATCCCTACTGCACTAGGAGCTCCATAAGAACAAGTATTTGAATTCATTATGTTGTGGTTCTTTGAAGAGAGGAGGGCCATCGTGGGAAGTTTGGCTTGGACGAAAAGACTCCTTAACAGCCAGCTTTGATGGTGCAAACAACTTCATCCCAACTCCAAACTTATCACTAGACGATCTCATTGCCAATTTTAAGCAACAAGGTTTGGACACCAAAGACTTGGTCGCGTTATCAGGTAATCCATTTGCTTAAGTCATCTGAGGATTTAGTATAATTCAATGATAGTTTATGTCAATCTAATAACAAGCAAGCAACTTTTCGCAACAGGAAGCCATACTATGGGTGTGGCAAGATGTGTAAGCTTCAGGCAAAGGATCTACGACGCTGGTTTTCAAGAAAACATCTACGAAAGGTTTTCAACCTTCCAGGAAACCCTGAGTTCAATATGTCCAAGATCAGGGAATGATAACGTGCTAACACCCCTTGATTATAGTACACCAACATTTTTCGACAACCATTACTACGAAAACTTGGCAGAATCCAAAGGACTGTTACACTCAGATAATGTGCTAGTCCTAGAAGACGAAAGTGGAGAAATACAGCAGAGAGTTTGGGCATACGCCTCAAACAGAGAGTTTTTCTTTGATTCTTTTACTAGTTCAATGATTAAGATGGGCAATATTAATGTATTAACCGGGGAAAAGGGTGAAATTAGGAAGAATTGTAGATTTGTAAATGCTTGAACACAATATACTCATTACTTAAAAGTCCATCAATAGATGATTACCAATATATTCAAAGCATTTAGGAAATTCACATAGAAACAGTTTTTCTATCTTCTGAAGAAGAAAGTACAGAACTGCCTTTCAAAGCTGCTAAATAAATCTTGATCGGAAAATAGTTGAATTTATACGGGGAACTAAAGCTTATAGAATTGGTATAATTGTAAAGAAGACAACGAACTAGTACAATCAACTGTTATACTGTTATTAATGTCAACATTATCACCTTCCAACAAATTTGTTATACAAATTATTCACACAGCATTACAATGGTAAAGAGCTTCATCAGAACGGATTTTCTTTCTCATCCACAGCCTAATAGGTCTGTGTTGGAAGGTGTCCTAAGATAAATTTCCAATCTCTTCACATGATGCTCAACTATTAGTTTGCAAAACAAGTTTTAAAGATATTCCAAGGAGTTTAGATGCAACAAGAGATTGCTCAGTAGTGGCTAGTATTATTGGTTCGATTCTGCCAGCAATTGTCCTCAACTTTAACTCAGAAGAGGGAGCTTGTTATCCTCATTGTAATCTCTGTTATTCTATAAATATGATCAAAGAACAACACAAATACACAAGTGCTACATAAAAACAAAATCCCATATTTGAATTTGAAGTTAGCTCAGGAAATGAAACAGCTTTTCAATCAAGAATTTTCTGAAGCAGAACTGGCATTAAGCTGTGATAATTCATCCTCATTGCCAAATTCATTTGAATTTAAAGTTTGAAATGTGATTGAAATATAATCCTCAATAGCAATATCCTCATTTCCATTTTATCACCCGGGTTTCGAACATGATAACAAAATGCCAAGTAACCATACCCACATCTAATTACAAACACTATCAAGATACAATAACCAACTACAACTACTCACATTGTTAATGAAAAAAGTAAAAGGTGAAGAACATCATCAGAAAGGATTTTCTTTCTCATTCACAGCCAATTTAGGCTGTGTTGGAAGGTGTCCTAAGATAATTTTCCAATCTCATCACATGATGCTTCACTTACCAACATTATAAGATAAAAACTTTTTTTATAAAAATCAAGATTTCAATAGTATGTTTAGATTGCTCAGTAGTGGCTGATATTATTGGTTCGATTCTGCCAGCAATTGTCCTCAGCTTTAACTCAGAAGAGGGAGCTTGGTATCCTCATTGCAATCATTCATTAAATTTAATCAACCCTAAAATTACTTTTTCAAAAACATTTACTTCAAAAATACAAAAAAAAAAAAAGAAATGAGATAATTTGATGGGATCTCAGCATTTTGAAATTTATCAACATTAAAAAATTTCAGGATTTTCAGTACTAAAAAGACATCATTGACCCATAAAGATACATCTCGATACCTAGGTAAAAAAAAATGAAATTTTTTTATCAAATTAAAATTTATAGGCATCAGTATTTCAAGGTTAGCATCAATAAAATTCAGACGCAAATTACCCATTTGAACGATATAGATTCATCAATTGCCCAGTTTATTCAATCAAATTCATTCACCCATCAAAAAATAAAAATTTACTTTTTATATATCAAAAAGATAAGATTTTTACTTAAAATGAAAAGATAATTTAAGAAAAGGGGATCAGTTCTCCAAGGTGAAAAAGCATCACAGAAAATCAGACGCAAAATACCCATTTGATAAATGGGATTCATCATATACCCCCAAAAATTCAATACTTAAACTTACGACATTTTAAAAGCGACAATTAAATTGAAGAGAAAAAAAAATTGAAATTTAAAGAAATTGAAAGACGATCAGAACCTGTCGGGATTCATTGTGTCATCAAACCCAGAAAACTGGGATCAGGGGATTGACAGACTATGAATATAATAATTCTTCATCTCGTCTATTTTTCCCCAATTAAATTGGGAAATACGAAACCCTAGATTTTGACAAATAAATTACGAGTAAAAGATTTAAAATGAAATTGGAAGGAAAAACAGGAAGTTAAATCGATGAAATTGAGCTCAGAACTTCTTAGAGGTTGTGTTTACCGTCATAGAAGGAATTCAGTAGAAGACCAACTCTGGACACGAAGTTTTTTCCTCATTGCTGCGAAATTTTAAACAATAAACAGAAATTAAAGAGATAAATGACTCAGAAAATTAAAGATACAAACCATATTGTTAAAGAGAGAAATTTGAGTTTTAGAAGTGGAGATTCAGCTGATTGATTGATTGTAATAGAGGAAGACGATTTATTTATAAACCCTAAATAGAGTGAAGCAGAAACCCTAATTTGAGGTTTAAGTTGGGTTTTGGGTCTGGCCTGTATGGCTGACCCTTGAATATTGGCCCAGAGATTAGATTTCAATCTTTGGTAGTTTTGCACGTATTCTTAGGTGCACACTCATGCACCTAGAAATAGGTGTAATAATAATACAATATGAACATTAGCTTTTCAGAAAGTGAACATTAGGTTTCTTCTCCTTTATTTTTCTCCTTCATTTTTTATTTTCTCTCTCCTCTGTTTTTTAATTTTCCCCCTTTTTTACACTTTTTTTTTATTAAATTTGTTTCTTACAACATGAATGAAAGTAGTTATTAAGTATGAATTTTTATGTGAATTTTGATTTTGTGTTTTAATTTCGATTGATTAAGGTATATATGAATCTTTGAATTCACAAATTATACTCTATTTTTTCTCCTTCCTTCTTTAATTCCTTTTTCCTCTGTTTTTTTTTTTTCTATTTTTCTCGTTTTTTCGATTTAACGATTGAATATGTTACTTACAATATGGAATTGGTTGTTTATTTTATTTTTTGAATTCACATGAATTGATTTTTTTTTAGCTTCGATCAATTTCATTTGTATATGAATTTCATTTGATTTTCTGGATTTTTTTTATCAATAAACATAATCATGCAAAATATGAACATATGCATAGGTTCCCTTAAATGTGAACATTAGCTTTTCAGAAAGTGAACATAAGCATAAACCATATGAACATATGCATTTCAGAAAGTAAACATAACAATTCAAAATATGAATGTAAGCATTGGTTTCCTTAAAGTGAATATAACCATTTAAAAGGTGAACATATGCGTAAAAAATATGATCATATGCATTTAAGAGAGAGAAGATATACATAAACAGACTTAATGCAAACAACAAATATTTACTATGAATATTTACATTATGAACATATAAAATATTATTATGAATATAAGACATTTTATTATGAACATAAAAAATTGAAGAAATGAAAATAATATGATTATGAAACATATGCATCATAATTCATAAGTATTAAAAATATGAACATATGAATTCAAAATATGAACATATGCATTGGTTCATTTTTGAATGCGTATGAACATGATTAAGCATTTCAGAAGGTGAACATATACGTAAAAAAAATATGAACATGTGAATTTAGAAAGTGAATATAAGCATTTCATAAAGTTTACAAACGGATTTAAAATATGAACATAAGAATTCAAAATATAAACATATGCATTTCGAAATGTGAACATAAAATATCCGTTTGATTTCACTAATTTTTTTGACAATTCCAATAATAAATTTCGAACAATATTCAAACAAAATTAAGTGATAATCATATAAATTCAAACAAAATTAAGTGAAATTTACATAAAATTGCCTTTTTGGGGAGGATCCTTTTGATTTTGCATTTCTTTCCTAATGTCCATTGAAGTTTTTGCAGTTTTTTAGTGAAAGAATGAAATAGAGGAGAGAGAAAGTGAAAAAGAGGAGAGAGAAAATCATATAGAAGAAGATTTTTGACTTTGAAAATGACGTTACATTTATTGGGTGTGGGTGGGTGTATTGCGGTTTCCGTATTTAGTTTTAGGCCTTTTTTAAATTGGATTGTGTGTAATTAGGCTTTAGGGCTATGTTGTTACACCTATTTAAGGTTAGACTAATTGGGTAGTTTGGTACCACCTTACACTTATAACAATTTGAGCTATTTTGTCAACAATTACTATTTAAATGTTCACTTTAAAGTATAGCTACTATTTGAATTTTATTTTATTTTTTTGAAAAAATTATCACAAAAACTTTGAGTAGTACTACTACATTTAATTTTTCTGGCAAGAATCTCTGGTTGGGTAGGCTTAATTATAAAATTTCAATCAACTCCGGTACAAAAACTAAGGGAAGTTGGTAACCGAACATAGTTTTATGCAAATTATCTTTAATTTCACATTGTAATTGTTTTAATTTCTCAATTGAATATTAAAATTAGGGTTCATAAGCAAAAAATTGAATTTAGGGTTTTGCGAAATTGGAGAATTTGGGGTAATTGATGTAGACCACCAAAAAAATAAAATGTGGTATTGCTACTCAAAGTTTTTGTGATAGTTTTTTAAAAAACTATTGAAATAAATAAATAATGGTAGTTGTTTTGAAATTTGGTCATTAGGGCTCGACTGAATTACCAAAATTTTAATTAATTCACTTAGATACTGCTTCCATTTACTGAAAACAACTAAACTGAATTGATTAGGGCTGAACTAAATAGAGCTGAAATGAACGGTTTATTAGAGAAGGAAATTAGGAACTGAAAATAAGCTAAACAAAACACCTCCTTAGTACTTACACTATGTAAAAAAAATTATATGAATATTTGATATTTTAATGAATATACTTGTACAGTTCTAACAAGCTGTCACTTGTTAAGTTGTTATTAATCTTTTTTTTTTTAGTACTCCATCTACGATCAAAGTTCAGTCAAGTTAGGATATCAATTTGATCAAATAAGACTATAAAGTTATATAGCACTTAACACCATATTATAACTTGTACTATTCATATAAGAACACTTTATTTCAGGTTTAGAAAATATGTTCTTGCTCTTCTTGTAAGTAGTGATTTTGTGAATTGTGACCACTTAACAATATCTAGGAAAAATCCTAAGACTCCGTAATATGAACTGTAAGGCAATGGTATATCAGCAGTATCTAACTTACAAATTTACAATGGTGCATTGGTGTCAAGAGTTTCCAAACAAAAGATAATTGATATCCACATTCAACTTCAAAGTAAAAACATTTGTAGCAACTGAATCATTTATATCAGGTCGTATTTTTGGGCTGATGGATAGCTTGATTAATTTCAGCTTAGTTAGGGCTTGTTCTGAATGTAACAGATCTGATTGGAGCTGAACTGGAAAAGAAAAAAAAAAAACCAAATAAAAATTTTATAAGAGAAGAAAATTAAAAACTGAACTGAAATTAAGCTAAAGAGAACAAGCCTTTAGTTTGTCATTGGGCCAGATATAGGCCATACGTAATCAACATTGAATATTGTAGACACACATTAGAAATCTTTTGCTGCCGAGTAATTATCAAGCAAGTTTTATTTAGCTCTATTTTCGAAAATAGATAAAATTGATCTCAGCATCACAAATTATTCAAAATGCAACCAAAAATAAACCTTCGGCTTGAACTCAAATCTAGAATTTAACTGTAAGCGACACTAAAATATACAAATGCAATCCTAATTATTAGGAATGCCTGTTACCACCCAAAGGGGAACTTGATCCGACAATATTTATGCTACTCTTTGTACTACATCGGATAATAACTAGCTTACATTAACCCTGTATGTTTATGAAGGCAAGAAACTAACGAGGACACCAAAGAAACAGAAGGCACCTGCAAAAGATTTGGCTCTATAGGATACGCTACTATGTTGGTGGACTGACTAATTTCACTGAAATATACTACTAACGGAGCAGTCGTCATGAACCCTCCAAATTGTTTCCCCCAAAAGGTTTGCTGTCGAAAGAACAGTCAGCTGTTGGAAGAAGTTATGTTCTGCCACTGGAACTGTGTTTGTAATGATCACTTCCTGGAAACAACCACTGGACAATCTCTCAATTGCTGGTGGACTGCAAAACAAACATCAATAAATAAGATTAGCAACTGGTTAAGTGGCGATTCATATATCGTGTAATTTACTATATGATAGGCCAAACTTGTAAGACCACGAGTGTTTCTCAAAGCATTGAACGTAATCATTTTTCAACTCAAATGCCAAGTACCGGAACAAACACATTTAGAAGTGCTCTTGGCACAAGTTTTTTGATGAATATAAAGCCTTGAAAATGGAGGAGCCAAAAGATCTAATAGTCCTGTCAAGAGAACAATGAAGGAGATGCAATGGAAAATAACCATGGAGGAGCCAAACAACTCTAGCAAGTCATGAGTAATAAAAGGTGCTAATTTACAGAGTTTGCAACTTTGCATACGTCATCTAGTACTTGATTATAAGTCTTAGTATAATTACTAACCAACAGTCACAGAGTTAAAGAACAAGCTCATAAGAGAAAAGGCAATTCAGCGAACCTCTTCACAGAATAACAACACATCAATGTTAAAACTTGCATCCCCAAAAAGGCTACAACTTTGGGCAAGGTAAAGGAGTGATCGTATGCAGCCAACTTTCTTAATGTAACCGGCCTTTTCGGGGGACTAGCCAATAGTGGTGAGGTTGTTTTACAACTCACACTTTAAAACCGCTTCACAAAACAGAAACTTAAATTTAAAATATAAAAAATTCTTACCTAAAAACAGCATGAGTGCAACATGCATAGACTTCTCTAGCCCCCTCTTCATGCAGCAATTCTGCACCTTTTGTAATAGTACCTACAGTCAAATTTTTCATTAGTTCTCATATTATTTACATACACAATACTTTCACAACCAAAAATTAAGAAATGCCAAAATTATTTAGCACACTCAAAACACCCAAAATCAAAAGACTAACCCGCTGTATAGCATAGTCCAATTGCTCATACAGATCCCCTGACCCCATGGCATGGGCAGGGCAAATGGTGCAGACATTTACTAATGAAACAGGCTAGTATAGACATAGATTACTAATCCGTATTACATTAGGTGGATAATATGATAAACGGACATGGAAATAAAGCCCTCCAGATAAAAACATCTAAGCAATAAATGAGCATTGAATTCCTTTAAGCACTCTTCTGAGCTCCAAGAAAAAATAAGTCGAGATTTGCAAGACTTTAACTTATTACTCAGCAAAAGAAAACTCGTCACAACGTTAAAAGCTGAAAGTTATCATGTATACTACTTCCAGCCACGAATAAAACCATGTAGATAGCTAAATATATCCTTTTACAGAACAACTTACCAGCAGTGTCTATCATGTCATCCAACATAACAGCGACTTTTCCTTTCACATCACCAATAAGATTCATCACCTGCGCCACAAAAATTCAGGTTAAAGCGCCGTAAGTTACTTTACCTTAATGAATACCAAACAAGATAAATGTTATTTTTTGGTGTTTAGAGAGCCACAAGAACGGGGGACAAGATAAATATTATGAAAAGACAAAAAAAATTATAACAAGCAGTCAACATATATGCAGATTGTGATATGCGTAAGGATGAACCAGTATGACTTCATTTTTTAATACATGTATTGGATTAAGCCCATGAAGGAGGCACATATTCTTATATTGAAGATGATTCAATCATCTAAAGCCTTGGAATAATAGTGTTTGCCCTTGACAGCAAGAATATTAAGCACTTGACAATAACAAAAGGATAACTCACTACTCTATGACTTTCAGCCAAAGGACCTCCAACTTCCAAAAAAACAATACTAGTAATACAAAGACAAAGATATAAAGTTTTTTTAAAAAAAAATAAAATGCTTAACTGATATGCTGGATTATGCAAATTCCTAACAAAACTATTTTAAAGAAAATCACCTCAGCTACATTGTGAGCATGCCGTCTTTTATCCACAATGGCTAAAGGTGCATCAGACAGCTTTTTGGCAAAAGCACGGGCCCTTGCAACTCCTCCAACATCAGGGGAAACTACAACCAAGTCACTTGAAGCAATACCCTTGCTTGCTAGATAATCAAGTATCACAGGCTGCATGCATATTCATGAAAGCATTAGAAGTTGCAAATGAGCATCTCTAGATGTCAACAACATTCATCAGTGCATGTATTCAACACCATCAATCGTTACCTGACAGTATACATGATCTACAGGAATATCAAAGTATCCCATTGATTGCCCAGAATGGAGATCACATGCCAGCACCCTGTCAGCACCTGCCTTTGTAATGAGATTTGCAACTAGTTTGGCAGCAATGGATTCACGGCCCTGAGTCTGAAATAAACAGGTAGATTCAGACAATATGGTTTCTACACTTCAATCAAATGAAGTACCCAACTGAAGACATCATAAACTATGAGGTAAGAACCTCAAAAGATGTGATATAGACATAATGACACATAGTAAGTCAAGTAGATAAAAAAAACTTGACATTGGTAATTTCAACCTGCAAAGCACATCAATTGAACCATAATCACATCAATAATCAACTCAAATCACAAAGATCTCTTCAATTTGGTTTTGAATTTCAATAAAAGTACCACGAATACCAAAAGACGAAATAACCTAGGGAATATCAAGAATTACTTGCCTTCCTATCTGCTCTAGCATATCCAAAATATGGAATCACAGCAGTGATATTTTTAGCTGATGCTCTACGACAAGCATCTATCATAACTAAAAGCTCCATTAGATTTTCATTTGCCGGAGGGCTTGTGGGTTGAATGATAAATACATCACACCCTCTGACACTCTCTTCCAGCTGCACATAAATCTCGCCATCTGCAAAGCGTTTTATCTTAACTTTTCCCAGCTCCAGACCCATGTACCAAGCAACTTCCTAAACACAACAAGCATCAAAATGAAATAACCAACAACAAACACTGATCACAAAAAAAAAATGACAAATCAAATACTGGGATTATAGACACCAACATAAGAACTACTAACATTATTTCAGCCAAACACATGAAAATTAAAAGACAATGAAATAAACTACGAACCAACCTTAGCCAGAGCAGGATTTGCCAACCCTGAAAACAGTTTCAGCCTTGTATTACTCCTATTTACAGAATTCTCTAAACGTCTCGAGTGCAGGAACTTTGGCAGAGATTGCTCGTCGAGGATTGGGACAGATGGTCGTCCATTAACCGTCTCCAACGGCTCCGAACCATTACATTTCTACAAGAGATGCAAGGCAGTGTTACAAATTTCCAATATATTACAAAAGCAAATCACGAATTCAACCTCAATTAACTGGTCCAGCCTATCCTGTTCCTCATAACTAAGCTTAGAACACAAGTTTAAGAAACTCGATTCTAGTCTAAACTACACACCATTCAATCTCAAATAACCGATATTTAGAAATTAAATCTAGTTTCAAAAAGATAATAAATTATGAAAAGTGATTTTTTTTTTCCCCTACTAGTTAAAAATACTACAGTATGTATGTCACTATTAACTCCGAAATAAATAAGAACAGTAAAAATTAAAATTCAAGAGCAGGTGTTGAATTAATTGAAGACAGATAATTTTTTTTTTAAAAGGATATTACAAAAACATAATCCAATCAACTTCCATAACTGCACATTCTATTAGTGATGAAATTAATCATCAATTTAGTCGCACAAACTTCATGAAAATTATAAAGTTGAATTATAACATTCTTAAAATTAAAAAAATAAATAATTAATAAAACCATGCATTATACCAAACTGACACCTAAAAACAAAGAAAAAATCATCATAAATCAGAAACACCACCACAGTTCAGTTCTGGATTTCATAATTGATACATTCAAATAAATCGCAACCAAAAAAAATTAAAAATATATATAAAAAAAATACAATTAAATAAAAAATAATAATAAAAAAAAGACTTACAACGGAAAAAGGAAGAGAGATGCGGCAAGGCGGCGAGAGAGGAGGAGGGGCAAAAGTAGGGCAAAAGGAAGTAGAAGAAGACGAAGAAGAAGATGACAAACAGCGAAGAGCCATTGACGCCATTGATGAAAATCGAAGAATTAGGGTTAGAGTGAAGCGACCTTTGACATTCACGGAGGGAAAATTAAAAAAAGAGGAGAGAGAAAAAAGGAAGAGGAATTTGAATGGCGGTAGCAGTCTCTCTCTTACAAATTACAATTGCTGAGCTTTGGCTTACTGCGGAGAGTCGGGGTGTATATATTTCTTGTGATGTCGTAACTTTGCGCAACTTGCTTTTTAAGGACTTGGCCCCTCTTTGCCTGTCTACTAGGAGAGGAGAGAGACAACTACTACTATTGTACTATTGTGTATGTGGACAGGGGAAGGGTGAGCAGGGCACTGCGCTACGGCGTACATTTTATTTGACCACTTAACTATGGAGTTACTTTTTTTCGGTTTTGGTTGTATTGTTGTAACTCATCTATTGAAATAATCTAAGCCATATGGGGTCGGAGTGGCTGGTTTACTATTGTAATCTGAAATCCCCAAAGGATGTGTTTGACGTTAGCTTTTGAGTAGCTTTTAGTGATTTGAAAAAAAATGTGAGTGTTTGGCAAAGTAGTGGTTAGGGTAGCTTTTAGTGATGAAGGTAGCTTTTATGAAAAGTTAGAAAGATTAGTTTTAGAAATTAGAGGTAGCTTTTCAGGTAACTGTTGAAAATTTAATTTATAGTTTAAAAAAATAAAATATTAATATTTATATATATAACAACCGCTACTTTATCGAACGCTCATATTTAAATTACTAGGTTAGTTCCCGTGCCATGCACGGTTATTGACAAAAATATTATGTACGTATATACATATCAGCGATTATATATTGTAATATCTCATTTTTAGTCATTAATTTTTGTCTATCTCAATTGTATCCTTGAAACGGATATTATGTTTTTGCCATAAAAACTTATAGTAGAAGATTGTATTTTTTAAAAATATTTACTACGTACAAAGATTATATTTTGCTATTCTATTTTCCATATTAATTAGTTAATTGAATGTGAATATTAAAAAAAAAAGGCAAATATCATTTCTATTTATATACGGAGTAGTAAATTAAATTTTACAAATAATTTCCTGAAATAAATTTTCTATTAAATATATATTTTTAAAATAATTACTAAGGACACACCAGAAACTGACACGTGTCATTGCTAGTGTGTCTTTTAATACTCCCTCCGTTTCAGTATGATACTCCCATATGGAATTAATCACATAAAATAAGAAAAGAACAATATTTGGAATCTAACATTAAAGACTAAACAATTCATAAATAGTTTTGCCTTATTTATATTGTTTTGATTTTTTTTAGGAAACCGTCAACCATAATTGCATAATTAAAGGGAATAATTTCTTTACTTAGAGTCATGTCATAAATTCACAATCAATTAACTTAACCAATCAGAATTAAATATGTATAAAATAGGAAATAAAAACTAAGTTAAAAGTGAAATACATTCAATATGGGTAGATCTTTTTGAAACGCCCAAAATAGTATATAGGACTAACAAATTGAAACGGAGGGAGTATATATTATTAATTATTAATTATTGATTGATGAATGTCTTTTAGTATATATTATTGAATTTATCTTCATAGCTAACAACTTGTTGACAGCTAACAGCTACCTACACAACTAACAGCTACCTCCACGGCTACATCTACCTTCACAGCTATATTGTGCCGAACACGCCCTAATTCATGGAGTTATTTCTATCTAGACAAGGAAATAACATTACTAAAATTTACGATAATATTGTTGAATATTTTATCTCATGTCATCTCATCCCTTTGATGTTAAAGATCAATTTTTAGAAAAAAGGGTCCAATACTATCATTTTTTTTTTTATTTTTTTGCAGAAGGAACTAAGAATCATTTTTTTTCGATGTTTGTATCACTGCATGGACGTGTTCCCCAAGGACTCTTAACCTTGACCGAGTTTGAGTTGAATTAATGAAATCTCCTACTTGTTTAAAAAAAAAAAAAAAAGTTTTTCATGTACTTCTTAATCTACTCCATTCTATTACGGAGTAATATTTTTATTATAAGTAATTTAGACTTTAGAGGTTAGATGTAATAGAATTTATTACAAAAGGAAAGATATCACATTTTCTTTTGGTAAGGAATCTTAAGATACCCTTTAACTCTGTATAGTTAAGCCACATTTTCTATAAATTACACACAAAAAAAGACTTTATGTAGATATTTACACCCAAAAATAAATAAATAAATAAACAATTCGGTAATGCTTATAGACTTATAGTAATTGAACCTTAAAAATACTTTTACAAATTCTCAAACAATGGTCGTGGAAATGGAATAGTAATAGTAAGGAATGAAAAGTCCAACTACGATTAATAAAGGAATCATCTAACTCATAAAAGATGCACACCTTACTGTAAAGTCTGTAATGCATGATGCATGCAATTTATAAACAAAGACTTGTTACTATCATTATTCAAATATATACTTTTATTTTAATGGTTGTGATATAAATGTAAGTTTCTTATTTCTTTACAAAAATTACTACCATGTACTTTTTTTTTTTTTTAAATAAATTTCACCCTGTTCACTCTTTGACTAATTTGAATTCGGAAAACAGTATTGGATGGTTAGGTTTCAATCCCCTCCCAATTATTGTTGTTGGACATTGCACATGCGGTCTTCCCTATCAAGTGCAGTCTTATTCACTACTATACCAACAACCAATTGGTATTTACTATGCATTATTAATAGAGTTTTATAATTTATTCTGCTTAGAGCGTAAAACTAACGCATCAACTTAAATTTTTAGTTGAGATGATATTTGCTAGCAATGAATCAAAACTCATTGCAACAAGATGTCAAAGTTTTCAATATATTGTATCAAAAAGGCCAAAAGCTATCACGATAAAATAGTAATAGATTCACATTAGATCCACCCTTCACTTTTCAAATTATAGCATTAAGCGATTGAATATCATGTTACATTCAAATTCCAACTAAAGTTGTTTACATCAACAATTCAACATCGTTACTCCATACAAAATAGTAAACATCGTGAACTCGTACACCTTTTAATGAATTAGATGATACTAGGATAGTTATCCCTTTCTCTAGCTACAAAAAAACAAATAATTGAAGTACTACGGAGTAGATACATTGTTGATTATGAACATACCATAAAATCAATCTAGAAGATGAGATGAAAACGTAAGCATCCATCTTTTTTGTTGTTAAAAAAAGAAAACGCATTCCTAGTCTTTAACTCGTGTAAGCCTATAACTCGTGCTACATCTTTGGATCGACAGAGGTGTGTTTTAAACCATGAAAGTACACTTTTCAAAGAGACGAGAATTTCTAAGCTAAAACACAAAACACACACGTAGACCAACCATGAATTCCCCACTTGGACTTGGACTTGTTAGTGGCAACCCGAATATCATTCGGTGGTGAGGTGGGGTCATCCTACTCTTTTTTCTATTTTCTTGGTAGTTTGCCAAGTGCTCTAAGATTACATCAATTACATGGAAATGAGAAAGCATTGTCATCTTCTTTGTGATATTCTCTTACAAATTTATCCTTCTTTAGAATCTGTTCTGATTTACCAAAATATTGAACGATTAGAGTTGAACTGAATTAAAATTAAGCTGAAAAGAACAGACCCTTAATAAAATGAAATTACTTCTTTCTACAATTCTTACCTTCATGGTTTTTCATTCCATGATTGGGTTTTGGTCTTGAATGGAATGGTATGAAATCACATGTGTAAATCTCCGCCGATCACGCTTGATCGTATGATGTAACGATTTGAATCGGGTTTATATATTTGTCAGATCAACGTAATAGATCATTTTGTACTTTTTAAACTATTGTTATTGTTTAATCAAATATGTATATTATGACACAAATTCGATTGAACTCGTTCCAATTTTAAACGTTGATGGATGCCTTGTACATATATCTTCAATTCTTCATTGTACTTTATCTTTGTTTGCTCATCTTGATCCAACATGATCATTATGAGTTTACAACATTATCCACTTGAGATAAGATTAAAGACCTAATCAGCCAAAATGCTAAATTTGTTAATTTATTTGTCACGTATCAGACAGTATATTCTTACCCAAAACAATGAAATTTTGTGCAATTGATGACAATGCACCTAGTCATCTCAAAGCCCATCAGTTTCAAAAAAAATGTTCTTTTTTATGCATGCAAAATTGCAAACTAAAAGTTACATCCATCCAATTTTAATGCTACGACTGTTCAATTTAAGTAACTATTTCTCTTGATAGGATTAAGTATTGTTGCACAAAAGGTCAAGTGCTTATCAACCCAAAAAAAAAAAAAATTAATAATAATAAAAATAATAATAAAAATTAAAAAAAATAAAAATAGAACAGTTTACATCAACATTAAGCTAAATTAAATTTTGAAAGCTACTCACAAGACTAAGTAAAGTCTAAAACCGTTTAAAACAGGTTTTGGAAGAAACATACCATAAGAAATGATTTTGTGTGTCATGACTCATGATGTTGTGTTTATTTCGTTGTTAAGTTCGTCAACAGTTGAACTGCAAACTCGTACATTGACAATTATTGCTAGCCACTTGAGTTTTGTAGACTGGTTTTGACAGTCATATTTGTGAGGCCTTCTATAGAAGATTTCCAACGATTATTCCAAATAAAAACTGTGGTCTTACAAACCAAACAAAAAAATGAAAAATGCACTATCATGATTCAAGGACAATGTTTTCCACCCTTGTATTGGTTGCACTCCATATTACTGTCGTCTATTTTGCATCTTGGCGATTAATATAAGTTTAGCCGTTTAGGCATCTATATTGAGCTTTAGCCCCTTCGATGTGTCACAATAGGCCATGCAGTGCAATGAGCTGCTTACTACATAGAATGATCATTTCATTCACACAATCTCCTACTTGATTGACTGCTTATTAGCTACATATGATATCACAAGAAACGCGTTGAGCTCTGGTTTGGAAATTTAGCAGTCCAATCAAATATAATTTTGTCCAGAACTCTCTTGTTTCAGGACAAAAACTAAGCCTCTTGAATATAGAAAATTCTAATTCATTTTAGAGATGATCAAAATTGATTGCCAGTCAGTAAAATGCAACACAATTTTGAATAGTAAGCTGGATTAACACAAATGCTATGCCTTTCTACAGTATACAAATGCAGGCAACGTGTACGGCTCCAATTCTCATTTTCTTCATCTTTACCCTTCACTCTCACACCACCCTACCTCTATAGAAAAATTAGAACCATGTACCTCAAAATGGAGTGTGATATACTACATATATCACTTCAATGTTAAAAGGACACTTCGGAGTGGCTGGAAAACCTTGCTGAAGAGGTTTTCTCGTCTCTGCAGAATACCCCTCCACTGATTAACTCCTCTTACCACTCTAGCCAGGCAGTTTAAGGCTCCCCTGACGATTGGTTTGCTGCCCCCTCTTGAGACTGCAATGAGAAAAGCCATCAATACTCTAGAAGTTTACAGGCTGATAAAGTGATAAATAATCTGTAAGAAGCCAAATGCAACTCATTGGAAAAGGGACATCCAGACATGTATGGAAATCCGAGCCAAACCCAGTAGCATAAGTCAAACATTCAGATAATACAATTAAATTCTAAAGAATGATCCCGTGAATTTCATCACAAAAGCATAATAAACTTAAGAAACCAATTTTAAGTGTGTAGCAGGGGGAATGGAGGTAAGATTTGATTTACCTGTTCAGAGGGTTGAGAGGAAGACATGAGTTGGGAGCTTTCCATATTTGTGAGCAGCTGAGTTACAGTATTTAAATGAGGAATGCTGCACACATGTAAACCAACAAGATGGGGAAACACAAAGAAAGGATGCCCAATGATCAATTGATAGATACAAATGGTCCAATTCTTGATTTAAAAAACAAGAGGCGAAATTATAAGATACAAAACCTCTGCAAACCATTTTCCATATATGCATCAAGTGAGGAAATCACTAGTGGAAGCTGCTGCAACACCTGCACCATTTCTTATGAGACTAAGAATCAAATTTGAGCTAGGCACTTCTGCTTACATGAGTCTTATAAATGAATCAACATACTTGTCCTGTATTTTTTATGGTATCAGTCTTTGCCAAAAGGTTTTTGGGAAGCTTTGCCAGGTGAGCCTACACATGAACAAAATCAACACAATTAACCAACTTATACGCTAGAATTGTTCATTTCAGAAAAAAACAATTCTCAACTCCCATTCAGAAAACAACCCAAATGTTAGCTTATCTTGTCTGTCGTGCATCACAGAATCAGTTGCCATTGGTATGATCAACTGTTAAACTTAACTAGGTACAAACTTCAGTAATTATTCCCAAGCATAGAACCCAAACAAAAATTACGTAAAGGTTTTCTCTATCTCAATTTCACTAGTATGATTAAATGCCACATGACTTAACTAGGTGCACCACCTTTGGTACTTTTCCAGTATAAAATCCCCAAAAAAATGTATGTAAATGCTTCCTTTGCCTGAGAAACTAGGAGAACATTCTTTTCCTTTCTCTACCTAGGTTTTGAAATGTTTTAATGCTATTTTCAGGCTAGCTATACTTTCTCCAAAAAATAATTTAACTCGATTTCTTATATCTTTACTTCAACTTACTTGTTTAATCATAAATACTATCCCATATCATCCTTCCACATTGCGTCCATTCAAAGGTCACAAATTGCTACAATCCACTGAAGCAATGTAATTGAACTACAGTATTATTCTTCATTGTCTCACGATTCAGCAAGTGCTCCTATATACAGTGATGGTTAAGTCCGTTGGTGCCCTAAAGGCTAAACTAATAGGTTCAATCACCAAAACGAATAACACATTCCAGATTTCCAGTCAGGGTATTAGCTATGCACAATAAGTATGCATAACAACTGAGCGAATGAACATACCAATTAGGCTTCTAGCAAGCAAAACTGCAAAAACAACTTTCCCGAGCAATTAAGTAGGTTTCTTTTTACTCCATAATTCATTAATATCCTACTCATGTGATCAATGATCCTTTTGTAACATTTTTCCACCCAATAATCTAATACCGGTTTATGCCTGATCACCACTATGCGTTCATCCATATAATCAATTGATACATGAAGAATAGCAAGACTAAAGCACCATTATATATCACCTCACACTAAAAAATTATAATCACTTTGATAACTTTGCTTAGGATTAGAGCAAAGAGCAAAAAAAATCATTTTGATCACCTGGGTCTCGGCCTTCCAAATTATTAGAAACAAATCCACAGACTTAACTAAAATCAAGAGCAATGTACATAACATGATCAATCCTAAAAACAGTCGAAATAAAGATTAAAAATTCCAGCTCTAAAACCCTAGAAAATCAAAATTGGGGAAAAATGAGACATGATAAATTACCCTCCTAACAATAAATGATAGCATGAAATTGTCAGATTCATGGAATTAACTGGAATTTCCAGAAAAACAAAACAAAAAGGAAGTACATAAGATAGAAGATTAGTGGAAATGAGGAGAGAGAAATGCCTGAGAAGGAGAAGAATTCTGCATAAGTTGGAGAAGATTGGAGGTGGATTGGATTGACTGTGAAATCTGATCAGCCACTGTTGCTTTCGCCGTCCCTTCTCTACTGGTTCGTCCCCTTCCTCCCGTCGTCGCCATCTCCAAACAAAAAAAAAAAAGTATGGAAGCTCACAACAGTAATTTTCACTTTTTGTTATTGTTTCTACTATTTTGTCTCTCAAATGTCAACCCGGATCCAAACCCGAGTTATTGAGAGAAAATTCGACTCGAAATTAACCCAATTTGATCCATTTAATATACAGTATTTTTTTTTGACTTAGATAGACATAAGAGTGGGTTATTAAAATCAATAACAAGATCTTCTGGAATCGGGAGAGAAGTTTTAATCACCTAAATATCCCTCACTTGCCAAGCGATTGATATATGGAACATTGAAGCTTCTACAAAGGTGCAAGACTTTTTTTTTTTTTTGGAGATTGTGTACTGACATAATGCCCACTAAAACGCTTCTGGAAGAGGAATTGTAAGACTCTAACAAGGGTATAAATCGTCCATTCACTTTTACCACACTTGAAATTTAATAATGTCATAACACATGTTGGTATTTCATTATACTTTAGATAATATCACCATGATACAAATCACCTTATTCATTGATACCAACGAACATAAAATTATTTTGATGGTATCGATATAATTTGTTGTTGGTATCATGTGAAATACCAACGTGTGCTGTTAGAGTCATAAATGACTCTAACGGTTAGAGTCCTAGAATTCCTCCTTCTGGAAACTCAACCCCCTTGGTAGAAAATGCGAGTTGTCCTTGGGGTGATTTGGCCAACGATTTGTGTAATCATCCTATCTTTGACCGCATGTATGTGCTGTAGCTGTGGGGAGAGGGAGGGTGCGGGAGGTTGCTAGTAGATAGGAGTGGCACAATGTGTGACATGTTGTGGCTCAAAATTACAATGGTGAAGTCTTGTTTGTTGCTATTTCAAGGATTAGAGCTGGTTGACACAAAAATTGTAGAAAAAAGGGAGCTTCTATTGACGCCGAAGCTTGTGAAAAGCTACATATATGAAGATGTTGTTCTAGTTAGATTGTTAAGTTCTCATCAATTGTCTCCCAAGGTTGCAGTTTATTTCTCGATTTAGACTTAAATAACTATGAGTTGACCATTGGAGAATTACCTTGTTGAACATTGCCTCTCAATTTAATAGATCAACGTTTGTCAGTAACCTTAGAATAAGAAGGTGAATTCCTCGCTATCTCCACCAAGCATGGTTGTCTAGTTGGAAATGCATCCCTTATTAGAGCTTGTTGTGAACCCATACCCCCTCTGTCCCTAAATTTTTACCCCATTTGACTTTTTACGATCTCTTAGATTCTTGTCAAAATGTTATATTTTCATTTTGTATGCGTAAAAATTATTAATAAGTGACATTAATAAGATACTCCGTATACCATAAGATGAATCATACAAGATTGCACATGAATATATTTATTTACATTAAATATGAAATAACGAAAATTACCATTAAACTTTTTAAGTTTGACCCAATTTTGACCGAAAAATAAGGACGGAAATAATAATATACGAGTATAAACATTTCCTCTCATTGTTACCCTCACATAACACAGACACACTACTGCGGGTTCTGTCCATGCGCTGCTACGGCATACAACATCGGACCACACAAATTTAATTGACGTTACGATCATCAATCCTCTCATCTGTGAGTTCGTTCATTCATTCATTCCCCTTTCGATTGAATTTCCCCTTAACTTAATTTCTCAATTCCCCCTTTTTTAATTGAATTTTTTTCCTTTAATTTTATTCAATCTTGCATCAAATTAGAGCAGATTACAAAAAAGATTGTATCTTTCTTATTTCTTTCCGATTGAATCTTTGTAACCGCAGTTAATTTATTGGGTTTTGAAACATAAAATTTGTTGTTGAAAATGGGTTGTACTGTGAGGGAAAAACACATTAGAACAAGTAGAAGATCAAGATCAATGAAACCCACAAATACAGATGTTGATAATTTTCATCATCATCAAACTCTATTTAATGATAGAACTTCTGCACTGGCTAAGTCTATGCTTGAATCTGGGTTTAAACCATGGGCGTATAACATGGGTTTTAGTGATTCTATGCAAAATGGTGTTTCAAACCCTAATAATAACCCAAATTCTAGTAATGCCCAGAACCCTAGTTTTGATGATTGTGGATGGGGGTATTGTACTGAGGAACAATTAGAGGAGATTTTGTTGAAGCAATTGGAGTTTTTGTATAATGAGGCGCTGTCGAAGCTTGTTTCTTTAGGGTATGATGAGGAGGTTGCATTGAAAGCAGTGTTGAAGAATGGACATTGCTATGGGGGTATGGATGTGTTGACTAATATCTTGCATAATTCATTGGCTTTTTTGAATAGTGGGTGTTGTGGAAATGATGGGGGCCATGGGGAGTCCGAGCTTATTTTTACGGATTTGAAGCATTTGGAAGAGTATTCTCTTGCGGGTATGGTTTGTCTGTTGCAGCAAGTTCGTCCCAATTTGAGTCGAGGGGATGCAATGTGGTGCCTCCTTATGAGTGATCTTCATGTGGGTCGGGCGAGTACTATTGACATTCCTATGCTTTCCTCACCTAGTAATGCAGTGAGCAATGTGGAAAGTGTTAGTACCAACTCCTCTGGTTCTGGAGTTAGTGTCCCCCCTGGGTTGTGTAAGTTTCATGGGGGTTGGGGTTTTGGAAATGGGCCCAATTCAGAGCTTCCTAGTAATGATTTTGGTGGCTTTTTCCCTTATTCAGAAGCTAGCATTCAGAGAGAAATCGATTGTGCTAAGAGGTTTAATCTCAGTCCTTCTATGAAGTCCCTGTTGAAGCGGAATGTTGCAGCCTTTGCTGCTGGGTTCCGCTCCAAACAGAAGCTACAAATGCAGTCTCAACCTTGCGCCAGCTCTGTGGTTAGTGGTGATTCAACTAAAGAAACTGCATCTGCCACTGTTGATGTGCCAAGTGAGCCTGGTGTGGAGTCTAATGATAATAACCAAGACATTGTGAACTCTTTGTTGAGTAAATTTCAAGATTTGAATCTTGATGAGAATTTAGAGTGTGTTACGGAGGATCAGAAGGATGAGATAATCTTGACTTTATTGCATCAAGTAAAGGATTTAGAGAAGCAGGTAAATGACCGTAAGGAATGGGCTCATCAGAAGGCAATGCAAGCTGCTAGAAAACTTAGCAGTGATCTGACAGAACTTAAGATATTGAGAACTGAGAGAGAGGAGACTCAGAGGTTAAAAAAGGGTAAGCAGACCCTGGAAGATTCAACCATGAAGAGGTTATCTGATATGGAGAATTCTCTAAGGAAGGCTAGCAGTGAGGTTGATCGTGCCAATGCAGCTGTTAGACAGCTTGAGGTTGAGAATGCTGAAATTCGAGCAGAGATGGAGGCTTCTAAGCTGAGTGCATCAGAGTCAGTCACAACCTGTTTGGAGGTTGCAAAGAGAGAGAAGAAGTGTTTGAAGAGACTTTTGGCATGGGAGAAACAGAAAATGAAGATGCAAGAGGAAATTGCTGCTGAAAAACAGAAGATTGCTGACTTGCAACAGCAATTTCTGCAGATTCTTGCAGATCAGAAGGAAGCTGAGGTGTGTAAAAATTGCTTATATTTTTGTTATGTGCTGTTTTTACGTGCACATTTATTTCCCTGTCAACTTTTGCTGCAAAAACTCTCTATCAGTGAAATGCTGCTGCTGTGATGAATTTTTTTTTTCTATTTCGACTCACTTCGCGATCTTCTTAAGGTAACTAGGAGTCTAGGACTTTATCTGTTTGACATGGGTCTCATAATGGCGCTTTTTCATGCGATTAATTGTCTCATCCTACGTCACTGCTCGGTGTAAGAGTAGGAAACTATCAGTAAGTTGATGACCTAATTTGCTTAGATGTATTTCTTTTTACACCTTTTTCTCTCCATTCTACTGAACAATTGAGCTAACTTGATACTATATATCCTTCTTTTGCCAGTCTATATATGATTGTCATGGTTGAAGATATATATTTCTCTTAGGAAGGAGTACTCTTTTTGTAACTGTTTAGCTTTATGAAGCCAAATTCATAACCCTTTTGCCCTACATCATGGCCTGTATAATATTTGGAGGTCATCCTACACATGGAAATTTCATAAATGTTCTTAGTATTCTGTTGTTGTTGTTGTTTTTTTTTTTTTTTTTTTTTTGAGCTATGATATTTTGTTGTGTGCGTTGCCTCAATCTAGTACAGGGTATGATTTTGGAATGTGGGTTTAATGGGGAGGGTGATCTGTCTCTCAGATCAGAATTCTTCCTTTATCGTTGGCTCGATTCCCCTCAGATTTCTTTGTTTGTTCATGAAATCATGAACAAATTGAAAATTTATTCAGATCTAAGGATTAGTTTGAAATGAACACGACTAAGAAATATTTCAGTGCCATTTTTAATGGGTGGCACCCTCCAGGGTTCTGCTAGAAGTTGGAACTGAGCAAGGGTGAAGCTCTTCTTTACCATCATCTTTGCTGATTTTGCTGTTGTTGACTTACCATTGAATAAATCTGGAGTTTATAATCCGGCATTTCATTTTGTGGGAGGATGAATTTTGCTGATGTGAAATGCTTAGCTGAATTTTGGATATGGAATACTAAAGGTTATTTTATGTCATGTGAGATTTCATACTATCATTCAGGGAATCTTTTCATGAAATAGCTTTTTATATCAATTACTCGGATGACACTGATTTCCATTGCATTTTAGGGTACTGACCAAACAAATGGAGATTGTACTTGCCAAGATGGTGTCTTATCTTCTCTTTAGTGCATATCACATTATGTGTATCCATCTTTTCTAATAACAGAAAAGGGATAAAAAAAATAATAAATTCTGTAATATAGGAATAGGATATTCTATTGTCATGTACTTCCTCTGTTTAATCACAACACTTTATCTATCGTGCTTGTTAACGCAAAACTTTGACCGTTAATTTATATGTTTAATTATGTACTTTGCATTAGTTAAAATTCACTTAAAAAATACCTTTCATCAAAAAAATTATAAAAAAGTAATATAGTTACATTATTAAGTTTGTAATATGTTTGTAAATAATATGGTCAAACTTAGTATATGAATAGTGCTAAAGTCTAAACACTGTAATTAAAAAGAACAGAGAAAGTGTATTGTTAATGTTACTTAGATTCCATTATTTGACCTGATGCTGAAGTATCAGCTGCTTAATCTACATGTAAAGTAGGTCAAATATACTTCATACGAAGTATATATTATAGCCTTGAATAACTTATGCAATAACCTTTGCTGCTTATGGTGTTGAGTATTGGTTGATTTTTGTGGGAAAAAATAATCCTGCATGCTTCAGAAATGAGAGGAAGGGTTTGTTTATGTTATGTGTATGCTTCTAAGAATCTAATTTATTTTTCATGTTATGTACTAAGACTTGAATTGTACTTTATGAAGCAAGGGTTCCTGATTTATTCTTAATAGAGGGAAGATGGCTGATTTTTCTGCAAAAATCTCACTCTTTTTTTTGACAAAAAGTAGCCCATTTTATTAAGTACTCTACTTCATCAGTTATCTTCCTTTATTCCCACTTAAGTATTTTTTATCTTGTTTCTGTATATTTTTGTGATTATTCATTTAATGTGGTTCTGCAATTTCCCGAGCTTTGCTTCACATTATACAGTTGATAAGATCTACATGCATTGTTTTTAGATGAATGTTGACATTAGCTATTTAAAAAAATTGCCATTTACTAACTGAATACTGAATAGAATAGTTGGACAGCATAAGGATTAAGGACTGTATTTCTGAGGTAATTTCTCCCATAGAATGCATTGTCATCTTTATAGATGAATCAATAAAGCAAATACACGCTTACTTGCTATATCATTAATATATGATTCCATTGAGGTTAATGCCTTGTATTCTGTACTCGGTCTTGTGATTATATGTAAATTTGCTTGTTTATCAAGTTTTAAGTGATATGTTTTTCATTGAATTCAATTCTGAACCAAGCATTTGTTTGAAGGTGGCTTCTAGTCAACAGCTGTAATGCACTTGCCGGTATATTGCTATGTGTAGCTGTGCTTTATTTTCTGTTTTTCTGTACCTGTTTGTCCTTGTTTTGGTTAATTTGTTTGATATTTTTGGTATTTTCTGTCCATTATCTTCCCCATAGCCCCAAAAAGAAAGAAGAAAGAGATCTTGAAACAAAGGGGAAGAAAATGTGGCAAATTAGTAGCTTAATTTAAAATCTTATTCTGGTCTCTGAGCTGTCTGTTGCTCACAATATTTTAAAGGGTGGTGCCATTTTCCTCTGGTTGGCTGCTTATAATTCCAGCTGAAGTTAGCTCAAATTATCTATTTAATAAGTCAAGTATATTATGACAGGCGAAGTGGAAGAAGGAAGTGAAGAAAAAGGAGCATGCGATGACTCAGGTGGAGGAAGAAAGACGTTCCAAGGAAGCAACAGAGGGAAACAACAAGAGAAAGCTTGAAGCCTTGCGCATGAGGATAGATATAGACTTCCAGCGTCACAAGGATGATCTCCAAAGACTTGAGCAGGAACTGTCCCGCCTGAAAGCAAGTGCACATCTCATTGAGCCACATCGTGATTCTTCTGATGCTTTTGCTACAGGACGCCCCGAAGCTGCAAAAAATCAAGGGGGGACTATTGCAAGGCTTCTCCGGGAATTGGATGAACCTGAAAAGGAAGGGTCAGAGAGAGAATGCTTGATTTGTATGAAAGAGGAAGTTTCCGTTGTGTTCCTCCCTTGTGCACATCAAGTAATGTGTGCTAACTGTGGCGAGGATTATGGAAAGAAGGGTAAAGCGATTTGTCCCTGTTGCCGATGTCCCATTGAACAGAAGATCCGCGTTTTTGGTGCTAGCTCATAGACACTCAGTTTGTGGCTGAAATATTTTTCCTGCACGGACTTCTACAGGTGAGTACACTCTGCAGGAAACAATGTATGTAAATAAGAGGGGTTGGGGAGAAGAAAAATCGTGTTATGTGCTTCTGTTTTCAAACTATCGAAGCATGATATGCTATAAAATAAGTCACCAGGAAGGTGATTCGACATGGCTACCAGATGTTTGACTATACTCAGAACTTCACAGATGGTATATATTACATAACTCTGTTCAGAAGGGAAAGCTAATACTTTGATGGTAAATTGTTGTAGCCTCTGATGGAATAAATTGTGGTAAACTTTACTGTTCTTTTGCATGCTTGTGACTGCTATTATTCTTCGGCCTTGAAAATTTTCCGTTATATTTGCTGTGATGTTTGTTGATGTTCTTTATTATGGAGTACTGTTTGTGATGATAATTGCTGTAACTCTGCAAGTAATATTAGCAGGAAGTATAACCCAGAAACAGATGTTGGAGGTTGCTTAGATTTGAGAAAGAGTTCGCTAAACTATTATTGGGTATTAGATGGCTGCTAAATGTTAGCCATTCAGCCTCAGTCTTATAGGAATTAGGACACCTAGATTTCAGTGAATTTTGTTAGGCTAGGTCAATTTGATGTATTGCTGGGTACAAATTTTCAGGAGCAACGTGTTATAGTTACTTAATTGGGGGATGCTCGGAGGGAGTCCTGAAGGATAATGATGTAAACGAAATTCAATATCACGATGAGTTTATTTGATTTCATCGGTCATGCTAGATGATATTTGCTACTCCATGTTGTACATTTGTTTCATAGTAAATTTGAACTTTGAGCAGTGTTAGGTGAGTTCAATATCTGTTACTCGTGAATCTTTTACCACTATAGATAGCTGCAACATTAATGCATATGGCCATAAAGGAATGATTAATTGATTAGGCTTGCTTGGTTAATGTAGAGAGAGCTATAAAAGACAAATAATTCAAATGAGATCTGTGCACAATTTTCATAACCAGTTGACCTCTATCACTTACTATGATAATCATTTTCCTCATCTTCACGTATGGTCTAACATCCATATAATCATTTCCTTATCATCAAGTACGGTCTACATCTTGACATCCAAATCTTGTTAACTACTTCTTCCGTCCCAAAAATTAGTTAACCCAATCCGACTCAAAGATTAAAATAATTAAGACTAATTGTATATTTAACAATTATGTACCCAATATAAATGAAGATAACTAGACTTGACTCGAACCAAACACGAATTGAATGAAGTAGTATCCTTTTAGCAATTGTGGTAAATATTGCTTTCTCATGCCCTTTGACTTTCCTATAAGTAACTATCTAATGAAAACAACCACCGTACCTTAAGCATGAAAGCATCCTTTCATATCAAACCATACTTTTAACAGAATGCATGTGAATTTATAATAAAAGAAGCATTATTATTAATATCACCCTCAATTGTTCACATAAAGTTACACCACCCCTTCTATTGTATCTAGCTATATTTTGTGATACTCATCAAGATTCTAGAACTTCCATAAACTCTCCAAACTACTATAATCTGCCACCAAAAACCTATATAATTATACCTTATATAATATTTTACAATATTTATTAAATACTTGTGATCAAAGTTGAGCATTATTAGTCACTTTGATTATATTCTTGTTTGTATCTTAGCCTTTAAGGAGCAAAGTATGCTCCTTTGTGAATTTGAGTATGGGGATTGATAGCATGGATGCTAAAGCAGGAGGACCGGTTTCGAGTTCATTGAAAGAATGGAATGATGGGAAGGGTAATAAGATGGGATTTTATGAGGAGAGGTTAAAAAGGTTTGCAGGTTTGGTATACAGAACATTCTGGGATGTTGGTAGAGAGGACCCTAGACGCGTGATCCATGCTTTCAAAGTTGGGTTGTCATTGACATTGGTGTCAATGTTGTATCTCTTGGAGCCTTTGTTCAACAATGTTGGACAAAATGCTATCTGGGCTGTTATGACTGTTGTTGTTGTTCTCGAGTTTACTGCAGGTTAGTTTTTTGCTTGTTTGATACTTGATAGCATCATTATAGGGTCTGTTTGTTTATAATGTACTTGATACTGGTTGGAAGTCATATTTATGTTACTCGTGTTTATTTTGAAAACTGATAACAAATTGTTTGACGTAGGGGCAACATTATGCAAGGGATTGAACAGAGGACTTGGGACAATTATGGCTGGATCATTGGCGTTTTTCATTGAGTTTGTTGCCAATAAATCTGACCATCTCTTTCGCGCTATCTTCATTGCATTTGCAGTTTTATTAATTGGTAGGTTATGATCATCTATCCAATCCTGTTAAAACTTTCTTGTTTTTTATAAAGTGGTTAGGTTGATGATTTACCTTAGTGGTTTGGACTTGGCAGGAACATCAGCTACATATATAAGATTCTTTCCATATATAAAGAAGAATTATGACTATGGTGTGGTAATATTTTTGTTGACATTTAACTTGATCACGGTGTCTAGCTATCGTGTCAATGATGTTCTGCACATAGCACAACAGCGCCTTTATACCATTGCCATCGGCTGTGGGATCTGCCTCTTAATGAGTCTCTTGGTTTTTCCACATTGGTCAGGGGAAGATCTACACAATTCTACTGTCTCCAAACTTGAGGGCCTTGCTAACTCTATTGAAGGTAAAGAGCAAACATAGACTTGAATCTGATATAAATAACCGAATCATGTCAAAATCTGTGTTCATCCTTTCATGTGAGCTATTAATGATGATTAGAACAGCAGCTTGATAACAGATCACAACTTCTGTGGTGTAACATAAACGGGATCACTTGAGGTAGTATCCGAGCCAAGTCTTTCTCCCTTTGATAACTTCAGGGCTTGTAAAAGCGACCCAAGATTTCAAGTCACTTAACAGACTTACGAAAGTGACATAATATGACCTGGCTCCTATACTCTTCAGTTGATGTTCATTAAACTGTAGTAAGTACTAATATGCTGATTAAGACTAACTTCATTGTATACCTGTTTCGTAAAAGTAGTAGAGAACATGGTCTTAGTTAGGGAAATAGTGTATGCTCACATGATATATGTGAATGAAAGTCAAGTTTTGAGGTGCTGTTTCGATCAGCATGATCAGTAGTTACAATAAGTGCCTTCCTGTTGTTTTTGATGGCAGCATGTGTCCAACAATACTTCAGTGACTCAAAATCGGAATCTGAAGAAGATAATTTGTCTGACGATCCAATCTATAAAGAAATTTTAGATTCAAAATCTGAAGATGAGGCCCTGGTAAGTATGCATACTGTATTATGCTTAAACTTACATAGGACAGTAGTTTATTGAACAACAGTTTACAATTCTCTGTACATATGTTTTACTTTTAAGATGTTTTAAGATGAGCTATTTGCCGTATTCTGGTTATTTAAGGCATTATATGCAAGCTGGGAGCCTCGGGCATCAAGGTACTGCTACCAGTTCCCATGGAAGCAGTATGTTAAGGTAGGAGCAGTTCTTCGACATTTTGGCTATACTGTTGTTGCCTTGCACGGATGTTTGCAGACCGAAATTCAGGTACTGCAGTTACATTTCTGAATGATCCCTAGAGTAACCTTTTTATGCTAACATGTGTGATGTTTTTCAATGTAGCCTCAATGATTTGTTACCTTTAATTTGTAGACTCCAAAAGCAGTTCGCGCATTGTTCAAGGACCCCTGCTTCCGGCTTGCAGCAGAAGTCTCAAAAGTTCTAAGAGAACTAGCAAGCAGCATTAAAAACCGGCGTCATTGCTCTCCATCAATCCTCTCAGACAACCTCCATGAAGCGTTGCAAGACCTTGATACTGCCTTAAAGTCTCAACCTCGGCTCTTTCTTAATCCCACCCTTGATAACCACCACCCTGCTCCACCCAACTTTCTTACCTTAGCAACTTCTGCCAACAATGACTTTAAAAACTCCTCTACCATAGCCTCAAGAAATTTTGCCATACCAAGTTTTAAGACTGACTCTTCTGCCCTACTCGAGTGGAAGAATAAGCGAGATCAGAAGACTGCTATGGCTACTGAGGCTCTAACACCTAAAGACAAGGAAGGTGGAGGGGACAGAAAAATGTTAAGGCCAACTTTGAGCAAGATTGCCATCACAAGCCTAGAGTTTGCTGAAGCATTACCATTCGCGGCCTTTGCATCATTGCTAGTGGAGACAGTTGCTAGATTGGATCGCGTCATTGAGGAGGTTGAAGAGCTTGGTAGGATAGCTCAGTTTAAGGAGTTTAAGGCAGGGGATGACATTGTTGTTAAGTGTGATGATAAGCCAATTAGTAATGGTTATCATAATAACCATCTGCCTTCCCATGGTTTTGATTAATTGATTAAACAATAAATTCTAACTGATTGTACACTAAGTATGTATCAATTTGAAAACTTGATTATGCAACATAACGTTTGAGTTATTATTAAATGATATTTTAATCTCGTAAAAATAAATGTAGGATGGAGTACGAGTATTTCTTTAAGAGACTACTTTGTATTAAAAATAAATAAATTATAATATCCTAACATACATAAATAAAATAATACAGGAAAAAAAAAAAAAGGAAAAAGCCTCAGATGCATTGCGAAGTTCTCCAGAATGAAACCAAATCCATGTGAAAAAACTTTTATGACATACAATATCACTTATATAGTAGGAAAGTATCAAATATTAATACAACAAGAGGAACATGGTAAAATTAAAAAAAATTCCAGTTTGTCTTTAACTTATCCATTCTGGTATTTCCCTCAATTCTTCATTTTGTTTTAGTTGCAGATAACGGAGGTTCGTCAAATGTTGAAGACCACTCGGAAGACTCGCCATTTTAGGAAGTTCTCCAAATACCAAAGAGCGAAGATTAGTTTTGAAGGCTTTCCATGGCATCATTTCATCCCCCTCTCCACTTGTTGCTGGTTGTTCATTTTCTGATGCATCAAACTCTTTACAATACCAAATGGTCAACTTCTCCAATGCAGTCAGATGTTCCAGGCCTTGAGATATGCTTCTCAACTTATGACAACTAAAAAATTTCAAACGTCGGAGAGAATAAGATAGAGTTGCAAACGCTTCTCCTAGACTTTTAGTGTTCATCTAATTCGACAGTTAGCGTAGAAAGCTGGTGCAGATATTGTTTAGGAAGGGACATAAGTTGGTCTTCTACATTATCCATTGCCAGCTCCTTCAACTTCAAATCACCCCTTGTCGAACCAGAACAAGATGTGGTGGTTGTTGATAGAGTTGTAACAATCTTCAATACTGAAAGCCTCTCATTGGTCTCAGTTAGTCTCAAAACCTCCACTTTTGGACAAAAGGGCAGGAATTTTAACTTTGGACATTTGCATATAACTAATTTCGAGAGATTACAAAATTGCATGGATAGTTGATGCTGATCATATTGTTGGCCGGCCTCAACTAATTCAGATGACGATGTACTGTCTGAATCATTTGTACTCTTAATTGCTTCTTCTCTTTTCCACCATCCTTTTAGATTTTTCATTCTAAACAACAAAAGTTTTTCAAGAGATGGGAAGAATAGAGTTTGCATCCCTTGCGATTTTAATGATGATGAGGAAGTGTCACAAACACCAGTCTCCATATATTCTACACTATCCATATACATAATCGAAAGATGCTTCAAGAAACGTAGTTGACTAAAGACAGGGACTTGTTGACAGCTGCAACCGTAGAGGTGAATTTTAACCAAATATGGGAGAGTAATACACAAATCACCCCTCCTTGCCCAACTTGGGAGCTTCTGACCCTTGTACCATTTGATCTTAAGTTTTCGTAAATTAGAATGCGGTTTGAGGCCCTCCAGCACAGCTTCATAATGGCTACAGTCATTAACATCTGTACATTGAAAGTCTATTTTCAATTCGGTCAGCCCCTGTTTCATGGTCAGGTTTGCTTCTACTGCTTCTTCTAGCATGTTCTTTTCAAAATCTCCGAGGATCATTATATGCATGTCACCTCTCAAGTTATTGAGTTCCTTTAGATCACTCAATTTAGCACTGCTGTTGGGCTGGTTTGTGAACCCTGCAGAATGCTCATAAATTACTTTATATTTAGGCAGCCTATTCAGCGAAATCAATCCTGCTAACCCGATGGCATGTGAGTCAAAGCACAATTTCTAACATCAAGGCTCCTCAAACTAGCAAGTTTTCTAATATTTTCTGGTAGAGTTCTAAGGTGTGAACACCAACTTAGATTTAGTGTATGCAAATTCTGAAGATCTGTGATTGAATCAGGGAGTTCTTCAATATGTGTTCTAGATAAATTAAGGAATCTCAGGTGAATCAGCTTACCTATTGAAGTGGGCAAACTCTTGAGGCTGAGATGATGTAGATCCAACACCCGCAAGCAGCTAAATCTTCTTATTAACTGTTGGCAAACTGATTCACTAAAGGTAGACCCATCATATATTTGCTCCGGCACAAGAAACGTACGCATCAGCTTCAGATTAAACATGCCATTTGGGATTTTCCACAACGAAGTCAAACGATAAGAAAAAGACAAGTCGAGGATTCGATCATCAAAGTTTCTTTCTCCCAACTTTGCAAGCTTGCACTTGACTCCCGCCACTTCTTGAGCAAGATCATGCATCAAGTCGTGCATCTTACACCCCGTAATAGCACCCCAACCATTTTTTATTATATCCTGGAAAAAGCCCCTTTGCAGCAAAGTTTGAAAATAGTCCTCTGCAGCCTCATCTAGGCTTTGGTTTTCATTGATTTCTGGAATAATGAAACCCTCTGCCATCCAAAGCTCTTTCAACACTTCTTTGTCCAATTCAGTGTCTTTCGGAAACAAAGAGCAATATGCAAAACAATTTTTCAATGGCGACCACAGGTGATGATAGCTGAGCCTAAGAATGCTCATAATATCACTTTGGCTCTCAGGTATTTTTGCAAGACTTGTATCCCTGATTGACAACCACTTTCTCTCCTCCTTGCCATAAAGCAGACTGCCTACGGTTCTTATGGCCAAAGGAAGTTTCCCACACTTCTTAACAATCTCCTTGCCTACCTCCACTAGTTGTGGATTTTGTTGAGCTTCTTCATTGAATGCCATCTTTTTGAATAATTCCCAGGACTTCTCCTCTGACAGACGTTGTAACTCATGAGGAGGAAAAGTGCCCATTATTTCGGCCACATCCCTTGATCGGGCCGTTACCACGATTTTACTTCCCTTTCTACCGATCTTCAAGAGGTCCCTCAACTCAAGCCATTTCTCACGATTTTCATTCCACATGTCATCTAGAACAAGCAAGTATTTCTTATCACCGATTTCTTTCCGCAATTGACCTTGCAGCTGTTCCATCTCTAACTTGGGTTATGTCTTTGTTGGTTGCAGACTTGAGGATCTTCTCAGTGATATCCTTGATATCAAAGACATTTGAAACACACACCCATAATCTCATTTCAAAGCATTCCTCAACCTGGGGATCATTAAATACGAGTTTTGCTAGAGTTGTCTTCCCCATGCCTCCCATTCCCACAATTGTGATGACAGGGAGCATCCTGTCCCTCTGCTCGTGCTCGCCGTCAGTGGAAGAAGAAGCAAGCAGCATGTCCAAAATGACTTTCTTATCATCATCTCTACCAATAACTTCCTCGGCATCAATAAAAGAGTAAGTCTGATCTCTCGTAGACCTATTCATTACTCTCCTTTCCTCATGAGAGCAGGGTACAAAGTTGATCCGTGTACCATCACTGACAATGTCAGCAAGCTTTTCCCGAATTTTTTTTAATCTTTCGGGAAACACAGAAGGCAAAGGCTATCTGATTGTCGCAGGAGAAGAATGTTTGCACCTTCTTATTTCCACCCGTGAGTTGTTTTCGTGCAGCAGTAGTAGCAAACTCATCGAACAAGTCATCAGCAGCATAGACAACAGTGGTAAGCCTGTCAAGCCAACCACGAACAGCATCATCAGATTGCCTCTCTTCAGCATCGGACAGCTTCCCTTTGATAGTGTTGATGGTATCCTTGAGCTTCTCGAGCTGAGCCTTGAAGCCCCAAGCTGAGGCAACCTCAGCAAGGGCCTTTGATCCCAGACTCTTCAGGACTTCCTCTGCAATGCCAAACACTATTGCTTCAGCCATTATCAGAGTTTTTGGTGATTCAAGTGAATGGGTGTGAAGAAAGATCAAGGATTAGAAGATGATAATGTAGGCCATCTATGTTAATTCAATCAGTGAAGTTAGTAAGGACTCTAAGGAGTTGACGGAGTACTATAAGTCTATTTGAGTGTGCTAGACTAATCAACTCCATGCAAGGACAAGTGGTCCCGACCTTGATTTGAAGACTGACTTTTTCTTGGAATTTTGATGAATGATCCAAATTGATCAGGTGATATGTTGAATGGAAATTTTTATGAATACCTAACGCAATGACTTGAGATTCAATAATTTCAACATAATTAGTGAGTACGAGTAATTTTTAAAAAATGAACTTGTCTCAAGGGCCCAATAGGTTTCAATACTCTCAAACCAGTGTGACGTATTGAGGTGAACTTGAATACTAGTCAGAAGTCATATTTATGCTACTTGTGTTCCTTTTGAAAACTGACAACAAAAGCTAATAACTAACAAACCTCAAGACTTAAAAACTGACAGAAAAAATGAACAAGGCCTGATTTTCATTTTCTGAAAACAAAATTGCATGCAAGTGCTTAGACGATTTCTGGCTGTATTATTTACTTAGTGAAATAGTAATGTAGGGGAAACATTATGCAAGATTATCAGATTTTTTTTTTTTTTTTTTTGGTGATTTAGTTCTACGTTGTAAGCTGACTAATAGTTTAGTTTTCCATGGCAGGAACATCAGCTAGAATTATGATTATGGGTTGGTGAAGTTTTGCTGACATTCAACTCTTGTTTAGACCTTGGTACTGCCTTAAAATCTCAGCCTAAGGAGTTTAAGGCAGGGGATGATGACATTGTTGTTAAGTGTGATGATAAGCCAATTGGTAATGGTTATCATAATAACCATCTGCCTTCTCATGGTTTTGATTAATTGATTATTTTTCAATTCAGTTTTTTTTTTCCTTTAAAATGATTCCTCCTTAATTTAAGGGATTGGTTAGTTATTCCCTATATTAATAGTTTTCAGAAATAGATTTGATATTTTTGGAGATATATAAATATGTAATTACAATTTCGAAATGCAGAGAGAATTTCTAGAGAGAGAAAATTTTTAGCATAGAAAATTAATGGCGGGGTGTAAGAAATTCGACATGATTACATTACAGATTTGTTGATAAACGCATGAGAATGAAGATTTAGTTAATAATGAAGATGAATTTGAGGATTTCATAACCAAATGTGAAGGTAATTTATTCTTTTTAGGTTTTTTCGTGTTAAAATTTATAATTATAATTACGATGATGATGCTAGTGATAATGTTCTTTTAAATTATTAAATTTCATAATTTGTAGATTACGTAATCAAAGGAAATTGTTTTTTTTTTAAACTGTTTTTGTATTATTTTCAAAGGTTGAAGATGATGTTCTTCTGATTATGATGAGTGTTCCTTTATCATGCATTCAATTTGTTAATTGTAATGGAATATGTTCTTTAAGTCCGATTAATATATTCTTTGAGTCTAAACTATATGTTCTTTACATTATAAAATTATGTTCTTTAAGGTATAATGTTCTTTGTGTTTCAATAATATGAACTATGTTTTTTTTTACTTGAATAATATGTTCTTCTATTTTCATGTTCGTTTGTTTTAACTCTTATGTTCTTTTGGCTATTGAGTGATATAGCACATATTATTTTAAAATGAGTTTTTACATCATTTTTAATTATTAAACTATTCATCTTGAATATTATTTTTTAAATTTATTTTTTTATATGTTAATAACATTAAATAATTGTGTACATTATTTTTTTCAGGTTCACGATGGTTGATGGAGATATTCTTTTAGGATATCATCTATTGATGATTGATTTTTAGATCCAAAGAACATCCGTAACATTTTTAAATAACATGATTATATTATGTAATAAGCACTGCTTAAATTTAAATATTAAAATTTAGCAAGGATGGTCCAAACAAAAATTTAATAAACATTTTCACAATAAGCAATGAATATTACATGACAATAAATGTACATTACAATTACAGTTAGAGAACATGGACATTTAAAATATTTTATCAAAAGGTCTAATAAAGATCATAAAATCAATAGTGGACATATGGAAGAAAATTTGTGCTAATAATTAATACTCTGTAGTACTTTACATACAAAATAAAGCACATCATATTTTCTAATAAAGAACATTATAAAAATATATAAAGAACATCACAAGAATTACACATGACCATTATTATTATAGTGAATATTATAATAATTACATTAAAAAAAAAATCTGAAAGACTATGATTGATTTTGATAGAGATTTTTTAAATTAAAGAAAATCAAATAAAATATTGGTAACTGAAATTTTAAATATGAAATGAATTTTTGAATTTAAATTTTGAATTTTGAAAATAAAATCTTGAATTATTTTGAAAAAGAAAAAAATTATAACATGAGAAAACTATTTTGGAATCTTAATTTTTCTTGAAATGATTGTATCAATTAATGTGAGATTTGGTTGATTCCTTTCCGAAATTTACTGAATATACCTAAAAAAAACTCACGTTCTTTGCTTTACATCTACATGTTCTTTTTTAGCATATTGTTCTTTGTTCCAAAGCTCTATGTTCTTCCCGCGTCTTTTTAATTTGTTTGTTGCCTGCGTTTTATTTTTTGGACAGTTCAACGATTAACCTTTATAAGGCTCAACATATGTCATGACATCAATTTTTCAAACACGTACTAGTAATGAAAATGTGAAGACATCGAAAAACACTATTTGCATCAGTTTTGAAGTGGTGGAGATAGTGTTGTGTTAGAGGGAGCTGAAGCTGATACACATATAGCGATTGTATGTGGCCCCAACATACAACACCACTCAGATGCTGCCACATCAGCAAAAGTAAAAAAAAAACGAAGGGGGAAAATTGGGGGGGGGGGGATTTTCACCCATTTTGGCGCTTTTCTTGCAATCTGGGTGGGATTCTTGGTGGGTGAATTTATTTGGCGGCAATCAACATTAATTGTGGTCAATGAAAAAAAAAACTCAGCATTAATTACTCTTTTTTTTCATAAATTATTATCCATTGATGTAGCAAACCATTTTACAGTAAAAAAAAAAAATATTCGGAGATGATTAACATTCTGCCAGAAAGGAAAACAAAGTCTACTATTGCCGACGAAAATTCCGTGAAATAATAATCTTTTAATTCGTGAGCTTGTTCAATTCATATCTACCAAATTTGATTTATTCAACAAATCCACCTTGTTCGATTCGTGCATCAATTATCTCAGATTTTCATAATCTAAGAACTCTCATACACGGTATCACAGTATCAATTTAGTTAAAATAATTCTGAATACTTAAATAATCTTATGCCAATTTTTTCATTTATTCAGATTATGTAGAGATTCTGAACTCCCAAAAAATTCAATTAAATCATAGTTAGCAAAAATATCTGACAAAAACATGGCACAATTTGTAGTTCTTGCAATGTCCCTGGCTCATTCAAAAGTTTGAGATTCTTTTAGTAACAAACATTTATTTCTTAGTAACGATTGGTTAGTAAAATGAATAAAGAAATAATTCCAATCATTTTGTTTATTTATATTAATATTAAAATTATTAATAGCATTGAAAATGTGTTATAGAGAATATCCATCTCGTTGTCATTGTTAACAAAGTTACTTAACATGATTGTGATGCTAGTAAAGTAGTAAGAATACTTAAAATGATTGTGATGCTAGTAAGAATACAAGGAAAAATAATTTGCAACCTGTAGACACCCATTTGTGTCTCCCCAAAACCAAACCCGGTGATGAGTGCCTTTCACGTCGAATCATAATCGAATGAAACGAAGTGTGGAAAGGTCTAGTGTTGCGGAAAGTTTTATTTCTTTTTCTTTTCTCCCTGCTTTTGAAAACTTTATTTTAAATAAAACAGCCAATCCAGTTTGGTTGGTCCATGATATGGGTCCAATAGTGGTGTAGTTGGATGGGGTTTTCAAAGACCTTTCCAACGATATATTATAAGCCCAATTCCGATGAATATTGAGGAAGTTATGGCCAATTTACTAAACTGGGCCCGGTTTGAGCTTTAAGTACGGCCTAATGATCTAGGGGAGGGCCTAATATAATTTATCATTCCTAATGTAATTAGGAATGGTTTTAGTTTTCTAGAACATTCTAGAAGGTCTTATCATTCCTAATTCAATTAGGACTCTTCAGAGTTTTAGTCAAGATCAAATAGCATTTTCGATGGAAATTATATTATTTTATCTTCCAGTACGGTAAATTTATCAGATTTTCGAAAACGCGTTGAAAATCGCTTTGGCGTCCAACCCCAGGCCTTGGCGCCTGGAACCAGGATTGGCGCCAGGCGCTAGCCATTGGCGCCTGGCGCTAGCGCCAATGTGTTTCTGTAATCTTCAAACTCTGTTTTGTTAAATTATCTTTTTTAAGTGATTTTCTCTATAAATATCGTATTTAAAACTCCGTTTTGAGGGACGAAGATTCACCAATTCTCTTGATTCTTAAGTTTCATTCATTTACATTCATTCTTTCTTTTCTAAACTTTGCTTTTCACACACAAAATTCCGCATTCACAAGATCTTGAAACACCTAGCCATATTCGAAGTTGCCTTCGCCTTAGACGTGAAAGGTTTTAATTTTTGAGGGTTTGGTCCCAAATCTCTCTTTCAATTATTTAATTTAATTGTTTGTTTATTATTTTCCTTGAAGTTACTAACGTGTGTATTTTGTTATTAGAAAGAGGTACGAGGCATCCAAGTAAGCACTTTAATTGATTTATTGATATTATGATGTAGACATCTTGTTTATATTGTTATTATGATATTCCTAGTATCATGTCTAGGGTATTTTTAATATTAAATATGATTGTTACGATGCTTCCTATGTTCTTCCTAATATTTATGATTGTTAGTATCATGTTAGGGCTAAAGATTTGATTTTTTATTGCTTAGTGACATGCTAGGGTTTGTTATTAATCTTGTTAGTATCATGCCTAGGATCTTGCTATTTTTATTATGCTTTAATATTAACATGAACATGATTATGATTATGAATATTATTATTATTATTATTATTATTATTTTGATAATTATTTTATTTATAATTATTATTTATGATGATGATATTCATTATTATGTTGCTTGATTATTTATTATTATTTATTGCTTGATCGCCTTTTTATTGCATGTTAAAGGGAATTGGTACTTGTAATCACGCTTAATAAGATAATTAATAATCTTGTTTAGGGTTAATTGTGATTATAATTCAAGTGATCGCCAATAATAGATTTGTTTGTGCATTACAACCAACATAGATTAAACAGGTTTAGGGTTAATCCTATTGATTGTATGTTAGTCAGGAAGCGCACATGAATTCGATCAGAATAAAGTAGAGGCCTATTGTTAGGGCAGGTTCAATCTCTTTTAGGTTGGATTTGTACCATCATCCCCGAACCCTTATTTGGTTCATGACCTTATGGAGTTGACGATCTTTTGGATCGTTAAGGGGTGTAACCTTCACCTCGTGAACGGTTTACAAGTTCCTTAAAAACTTGTTGGCGACTCTTTTGCTCTATCTTCTTCCCTTTTGGACGCCACCGTACTTTAGTGTATGATCACAGTGGGGTTCAAGCTAGTGAGATTTTAAAGGCTTGAAATTATTCCCTACACAACCGAAACCAGAAAATTCCATCTTTAAAAAACCTTGGAGAAAGAACCGCAAATAGCAATATTGGTTCTTCAAATAAAACCGCTACTAACAATTACAGTTGTAAATGTAAAATCGCTACCATTAATTGCAGTTTTACACTTAAAAAAAACCCAAAACCAATAATGATCCTATATGGACACTATCTAGAAAATAAGTTTTTAAAGCGATAAGTATAACGATGCCAAATATTCTTCCACAATCCTCGTGCTCGAAACCAAATCTGGGGCATCTTTAACAACAACAAGAGGGACATGTTGAAACTTGGGGCAGTCGAGACCATTTGGGCGTCGACATCTTTTTGTCAATCTTGGACATCCAGCAATAGTGAGATTATTTAGTGAGGTGAGGTTGCGAAGGGATTCTGGTAGATATGCCAATCTGCGAAAATAATACAAATTCAGGTCTTCAAGAGAGGACAAACAACTTATCCATTCTGGTATTTCCCTCCATTCGTCAAATCCTGATAAAAGCAGATAACGGAGGTTCGTCAAATGTTGAAGACCACTCGGCAGACCCACCATTTTATCAAGGCTACTAAATTCTAAAGAGCGAAGATTAGTTTCGAAGGCTTTCCATGGCATCATTTCATCTCCCTCTCCACTTGCCGTTGGCTGTTCGTTTACTGATAGGTCAAGCATGGCACAGTACCTAAAGGTCAATTTCTCCAATGCAGTCAGATGTTCCAGGCCTTGAGATATGCTTCTGAGGTTACCACAGTTTATGAATTCCAAACTTCGGAGAGAATAAGATAGAGTTGCAAACGCTTCACCTAGACTTTTAGTGCTCACCAGCTTCTCATCCCACAGAACAGTTAATGAAGAAAGCTGGTGCAGACATTGTTTAGGGAGGGACATAAGTTGGTCTTCCACATTATCCGTTGTCAGCTCCTTCAACTTCAATTCAGCCCTTCCCGAAACAGAACAAGATGCTGTTGTCGTTGATAGAGTTGTTTCCATCTTCAATACTGAGAGCCTCTTATTGGTGCCTCTTACTGTCAAAACCTCCACTTTTGGAGAATTTGGCAGGAATTTCAACTCTGGACAATTTAATATACTTAATTTTGAGAGATTACAAAATTGCATGGATAATTGATGATGATCATATTGTTGGCACGCCCCAACTAATTCAGATGACGATTTACTCTCTGAATCATTTGTACTCACAATTGCTTCTACTCCTTTCCACCATCCTTTTAGATTTTTCATATAAGATAAGTCAAGTACTTCAAGAGATGGGAAGAATAGAGTTTGCATCCCTTGCGATTTTGATGATGGCGAGGAATTGTCACATACACCATCCTCCATATATTCCACGTTGTCCATGGAACACATACTAAGATCCTTCAAGAAACGAAGTTGGCTAAAGACAGGGACTTGTTGACATTTACAATCGACAAGTGTAATTTGAACCAAATTTGGAAGATTACTACACAAATCACCCCTCCTTGCCCAACTTGGGAGCTTCTGTCCATAATAGCGTCGAATAATCAGTGTCCTTAAATTAAAATGCGGTTTGAGGCCCTCCAGCACAGCTTCATCATGGTTACAAACATTGTCAACACACTCATCTTTGAAAAAACCTATGCACAATTCAGTCAGCCCCTGTTTGTTGCTCAAGTTTGCTTCTGATGCTTCTTCTATCGGGTTCTTTTTTAAATCTCTGTGGATCTTTATACACAGGTCACCTCTCAAGTTATTGAGTTCCTTTAGATCACTCAATTTAGCACTACTCTTGGGCTTGTTCCATAACTTTGCAGAATGATCATAACTAACTATAAAAGAAGGCAGCCTATTCAGCGAAGTCAATCCTGCTAGCCCTGATGGCATGTGAGTTAATTTTGTACAAATATCAACATCAAGGCACCTCAAATTAACAAGTTTTCTAATATTTTCTGGTAGTGTTCTTAGCAGAAAGAAATTTAGATGTAGTGTTTGCAAATTTTGGAGATCTGTGATTGAATCAGGAAGTTCTTCAATAAGTGTTTCAGATAAATCGAGGAATCGCAAGTGAATAAGCTTACCAATTGAACTTGGCAAACTCTTGAGTTTGAGATTATGTAGATCTAACACCCGCAAGCAACTAAATCTTCTTATCAACTGTTGGCAAATTGATTTGCTAAACAGAGACTGATCACTTAATCGCTCTTCCATTATTTGCTCCGGCAAGAGAAACGTACGCAACAGCTTCAAATCTAGCATGCCAGTTGGAATTTTCCACAAGGAGGACAAATGATGACCAAAGGACAAGTGGAGGATTTTGCCATTAAGTTTGCTTTCTGCTAAATTTGCAAGCTTGAACTTGACTCCAGCCACTTCTTGAGCAAGATCATGCATCAAGTCATGCATTTTGCAATACGTAATAGCACCCCATTCATCTTTTCTTATATCCTGGAAAAATCCCCTTTGCAGCAAAGTTTGAAAATAATCCTCTGCAGCTTCATCTAGACTTTGATTTTCATCGATTTCTGGAATAATGAAGCCCTCAGCCATCCAAAGCTCTTTCAAAATTTCTTTCTTCAACCCAGTGTTTTTTGGAAACAAAGAGCAATAAGCAAAGCAATTTTTCAATGGCGACCACAAGCCTGAGAATGCTCATAATTTCACTTTGGCTCTCAGGTATTTTTGCAAGACTTGTATCCTTGATTGACAACCACTTTATCTCCTCCTTACCATAAAGCAGACTGCCTACGGTTCTTATGGCCAAAGGAAGTTTCCCACACTTCTTGGCAATCTCCTTGCCAACCTTCAGTAGTTGTGGATTTTGTTGAGCTTCTTCATTGAATGCCATCTTTTTAAATAATTCCCAGGACTTCTCCTCTGATAGACCTTGTAACTCATGAGGAGGAAAAGTGCCCATTATTTTGGCCACATCCCTTGATCGAGTAGTTACCATGATTTTACTTCCCTTTCTACCAATCTTCAAGAGGTCCCTCAACTCGAGCCATTTCTCACGAATTTCATTCCACACGTCATCTAGAACAAGCAAGTATTTTTTATCACCAATTTCCTTCTGCAATTGACCTTGTAGCTGCTCCATCTCTAACTTGGGTATCTCTTTGTTGATTGCAGACTTGAGGATCTTCTCAATGATATCCTTGATATCAAAGACATCTGAAACACACACCCATAATCTCATCTCAAAGCATTCCTCAACCTGGGGATCATTAAATACGAGTTTTGCTAGAGTTGTCTTCCCCATGCCTCCCATTCCCACAATTGATATGACAGGGAGCATTTTGTCCCTCTGCGCGTGCTCGCCATCAGTGGATGAAGAAGCGAGAAGCATGCCCAAGATGACTTTCTTATCATCACCTCTACCAATAACCTGCTCAGCTTCAACAAAAGAATAAGTCTGATCTCTCATAGGCCTATTCATTACTCTCCTTTCCTCATGAGAGCAGGGTACAAAGTTGAACCGTGTACTATTATTGACTATGTCATCAAGCTTTTCCCGAATTTTTTAATCTTTCGGGAAACACGGAAGCCAAATGCCATCTGATTGTTCCCGGAGAAGAATGTTTGTATCTCTCTAGTCACTTCATTTCCACCCATGAGCTGTTTTCGTGCAGCCATAGTAGCTAACTCATCGAACAAGTCATCAGCTTCATAGACAACAGTGGTAAGCCTGTCAAGCCAACTACGAACAGCATCATCAGCTTGCCTCTCTTCAGCATCCGACAGCTTCGCTTTGATAGTGTTGATGGTATCCGTCAACTCCTCAAGCTGATCCTTGAAGCCCCAAGCCGAGGCAATCTCAGCAAGGGCCTTGGATCCCAGATTCTTCAGGACTTCCTCTGCAATGCCAAACACTATTGCTTCAGCCATTTGCTTCTCTCTCTCTCTTTCTCTCGCTCTTTCTTTTGGTCTAGTTTATCAGAATTTTTTGATAATTCAAGTAAATGGTTGTGAAGAAAGTTAAAGGACTTGAAGATGATAATGTAGGCATCTGTAAGAACTCAATCAGTGAAGCTTGTCCATGCTAGGACAAGAGGTCCCACCCTCTATTTAAATGCATTTGGTTTTTTACACGAGTTGAGAAAAGATACTTTGGACTATGTAAAATCAGAATATTTACATAATTTGATAAATGAAAACATTTGCTTTGATAGTAGTTACATAATTTCTTTGTTATTAAATAAAAATAATTGCTTTGATGCAAGTATTTTTAGTTTTTTTGCTTGCTTGATACATACCTTAGTTATACTTATACTACTCGTGTTAATTTTGAAAACCGGCAACAAATACTAAAACCTCACATAACTCGAAACTCACACAGGTTCAAATGTCAACAATCGTAAGTAGGTGCTTAAATTATTTATTTACTTATTTAGTTAGTGAAATGGTTGATGTAGGTGCAAGGATGATGCAACTCTTCTTTTCTCTTCAATTCCTTTCCCTCCATTAATCTCTATTAATTTAGTGAAATGGTTGATGTAACGACAACATTATGCCAGCTAATATTATCAGATTTTATTTTGGTGATTCAATTGAATGGTTGTGAAGAAAGTTTAAGGCCTTGAAGATGATAATGTCGGCCATCTGATCTGTAATAAATCAATAAGTGAAGGTAGTACAGAGTATGCTACTATTGACTAATTAATCAATTCAATGCAAGTTGTAAGTTGGAAGACTAACTTTTACTTGGAATTATGATGAATATTCTAAATTGATAATTATGAGTGCACTACTTTTGACTAATCAACTCAATGCAAGGGCTAGTGCCCAACTTTTAATACTAACTTTACTTGGATTTTTTTTTTAATAATTCAATTTGATAATGTGATATGTTGAATGGCAGTTTTTGTTTTATCAATACTACTAACAATGACTTCAGACTCAATAATTCAATAGCACTGATGGCTTGGTTAGCGTTGGACATGTATGATCAACTTATATTTTGTTCACTCGTCTGTGCCCAAAAATGTAGTTTTTTTTACAAAAATAAACGAGAGCCAAAAATGTAGTTATACAAAAATAAACAGTTATACACAGAAAATGAACAAGGCCTGAATTTCATTTTCAGAAAATATTACTGTATGCAAGTGCTTAGATGAATTCTAGCTGTCTTATTTACTTAGTGAAATGGTTGATGTAGAGGCAACATTATGCAAGCTAAGATAATCAGATTTTTTTTGGGGATTTAAGTTGAATGGTTGTGAAGAAAGTTCAAGGACTTGAAGATGATAATGTAGGCCATCTGTGATAACTCAATCAAGTACAGAGTTGTATAAGAGTATACTGTTGACTAATCAACTCCATGCTAGAATAAAGAGGTCCCGGCCTGGAGTTTAAAGATAAGACTAACTTTCATCCACTCAGTAAATATATTAGTAAATGAAAATATTTGCTTTGATAGTAAGTAAATCGAAAATTATTTTCTAGTCTTGCTTTTTCATCCACTCAGTAGGGCAGAAGAGTCTGTCTTAAAACTTGGTATGGCAAAATTTGTTGAGAGTCTTGAGAGTTGAGACTATGGTAGGGGAGTTTTTTAAAGCTACTGATTGAGGGTCTTCCACCTAAAGAGAAGGAAGGTGGAGTAGACAGAATAATGTTAGCAAGATAGTCATCACACGCCTAGAGTTTGCTGAGGCATTACTATTTGTATTTGCGGCCTCTGCATCATTGCTAGTGGAGACGGTTGCTAGATTGAATCGCGTCATTGAGGAGGTTGAAGAGCTTGGTAGGATAGCTCAGTTTAAGGCAGGGGATGACATTGTTGTTAAGTGTGATGATAAGCCAATTAGTCATGGTTATCATAATCATCTAGAGACTTAGAGTTTCAACTGTCAAAGGGATTAAATTTCTGAAAAAAAAAAAAAAAAAACAAAAAATCACTTTTTTAAGGGCCCAACCGGGTTCGAACCGGTGACCTATTGATCTGCAGTCAATTGCTCTACCACTGAGCTATGGACCCATTATTGTTTAATTTATAGAAAAATGTTTATTTAATTTGACTATGCCATATACCTTTCACTAATAGAAACTTTCAAACTAAGATCTTGCAAATGTAAATTAACTTTGATTATACTTCATAATAGGCAATACATTAAACTTTCATAATAATATTACAGTAGTTTATTATGAAATGATTGAAATAAAATAACACGGAGTATGAATTTTATTTTATTTTTTATCGAGAAGGTAAGGTGGTGAATTCTTTACTAATCAAAGCAATCATGTCTTGTGATAAATTAAGAGAAAAGAGGAATAATAGAGAATAAAGGAGAGTAGTAAGTTTCTCACATATACCTCCTAGGCTCCAAGTCTGATCTGAACTTAATGGCGTCGTAGCACGGTCGTGTACTCGTGTGGACATCAACTTAATCTATTCTTACATGGCTTTTGGCTACCTGTTCCAACATATAGCAGCAATATGAGATTTAAACTCACATTTTTATGTATCTATCATAATCATAAACATCTAAAAAAAAAAACCAAGATATATATTTTAAAAACTGTAAAAAGTCCATCCAACAATCTCTTTTTGAACACAGGACAATTAACCAAGAGGCCAAGTTCAGAAATAGTAAGGACCAAGCGAGCAATGTTTTGTTACATATTTACAACATCAAATCATACAAGAGAGGAGAACAATGACAAAATAACCAACAAACACATAAAGATAAGATATTTTTGTTATACATCTAAGTTAGTATAAAAAATGGGTGGTCAGTTATCTATCTGGAAAATTAATGGCTTGTTGTGTCTCAAACACTGTATTTTACAGGTGGAGAGGAAGTCCAAGGAACTTATTTGGATGGAACACTGGAAAATCAAAAGTTGATGAGAAACCACAGCCTAAGTACCATGACATTGATCTTCCTTTCCCACCTTCTCTGGTCTCCAACACCTTTCTAAATGGTACTGTTTCCTCTTTTTTCTCTATCTTTTTATCATCAAAATGCTTGATATTTATTTTACTACGATTTAATTATATATTTCAAGAAGTAAACTTTTAAACGTCCTATTTCATACGATTGAATTTGAACCCATATGTATTACATACTTTGTATTATCTATCATCTGTATATATAGACTAATTAAGGATAACGTTACATACATCTAGACCTTTGTAAATCCGGAGTCACACTAGTGTCAAATCTTGGTGTCATTTTGTTGGAAGTATTAGACTAGCAATTCAGATATCTTTTGTTGACTGGCAGGAAGAGAACTGAAATGCTGTTACAGAGCAAGCATTGATGGATTTAATGCAATTGACTTCCACAAATACTGTGACTTTAAGGGCCCTTGTGTTATTATAGGTTACACAAACAACAAGCCCTTTAAGTTTGGAGCATTCAATCCAGAAGGTTATAGAAGCACAGATGATTACTATGACTCCTTTGATGCATTCCTCTTTTACTGGCAAGAGGATGGGAAACCTGATCCAATAATACTACCCAAAGTTGGGGGTAGTGGAGCTGCCCTTTTCGATTATGCCCGTGGGGGGCCACAATTTGGCTCCGATGGACTGCTCATCGGCCCACCCCTAACTCCTGTCATGGGTGTGTTTACAGGACCTGATCCGAGTTCAGGTGCAGGTGATCTCAGGCAAGCTAAGTCTAGGCTGGGGTTATCCTATGCTAAGAGACCTGATGGAAAGGAGTCTATCTTCGGGGATGAATCCAATGCAACCCTTGAAGAGGTCCAAGTCTTCTGCAGTCCAGACATTGCAAGATTATACTAATGTATTGTTTATTATCCTCCTTGTACAGCAAGATAATTAATCAATGGATGAAGACATATTAGAGCTTTTTATTTCTTTGCACTAACAGTTTTCAATAGCTTTTAAGATGGGTGGCCAACTTTCCTAGACTTCACTTTACTTTCGTGGATTAACTAATAATAGCAGAAGCATGTACAACATTACTTAAATTAATTCAGAGTTCTAACATTGTCCAAAAAGATAGGATAGCACTCTCATTACTCTGATACCAGATTTCACTTTTATAATATCAGAAGTTTAAACAAATTCCACGAAAAGGACATCACCCCGCCTCCCTCAAACAACAAAATTGGTATGAACTATGAAGGATGTGGCAAAAGAGATTTCCAAACTTATTCCATGAGTTTTAGCAGTAGGATGAATAGGTCCTGTGGAAAGAGTTCTTAGAGGCCGGCGAATCCAACTTCTAAGAATCTTAAGAGGGTTTAGAAGAAAAGAGTTAAGTGATGTAGCCCTTTTGCAGTGCTTTAAATTAAAGTCCATTACTTGCAAATTCTTTAATCAGATTCTTGCTAAAAGGAGAGTTCAAAAGAAGGGGGAAGTGGAATAATGAGGAAACTTCAACTTATAGAGAATATGACATAACTTGCCTGAGTGATCCAAGGGCCAGCAGAGCTTTTTCATGACACAAACGAGTTGCTGCATCGCCTTTTTCTCTTCCACTAAACAATTGGTCTTTGACATTAAGTTTGAAATCCTAAATAGAAAACATTGTGTTCACACCTTAATATATGTAGAAATTTGAAAAATATTTCAACAGCAAGACAATTTTAACTTAACCAATTTTTTAAAATTATGTTAATGCTGCATTTCCTTTTCTTTTTTTTTTTTTCTGACTAGCAAGTCAGGGTTACTTACATTAACTAAGCACAAATATTAACATTGATAAAGCAATAATAAATCTTACTAAAAAAATTAATTTTTCCTTATGAGGTTTTGTGGGGCAAAATAAAGATAAAAAAGAAAGAAGTAAGAAAGGGACTGGAGTACTTGAAAATGACAGCCTTGGTGCTTTCCTGAAGCCTGCATTCATACATTAATCACTAAGTGGTGCTACTTAGTGTTTAGTCACAATGCAAAAGGTGAAAGCAGTAGCTTTAACAAAAATGTCACCTTTTAATTTGATGCACTACTACTGCAGCTGGACTGATGGTTCAGTATTTTATTTGGCCCCTGCAGTGACTCTGAGGATGGCAACCACCTAGAAAAGGCAGGGACAAAAACTATTATGCATGCATACGTTGGCTCATTTCTATTCATTTTTATCAGTACTTCCATAAGCAAATCAGTGTTTGTTGATGCAATTTAATTTGTCAAATAGAAGCAGCATCATGGTGATGATGTTGCCTGATTATGACTAGAGGACCACTGGTTTTAGGGTGTTGATTCTTATGTTACTCAGACTATTCATATCAACTCAAGCACTCATGTCTGATCCTCGGCACTTCAGTTCATGGTTATGGGCACTTGACAAATATACATGTGCCTGACAATAGTGCCAGAGTTCAATTAACACAAAGATAAATAAGCATCAATACTTGAGATGAAAAGTGTAGGAATTATGTCTAAGATGTTAATGTTATATAACGGTAATTAATTATACAGAAGATATATAGAGATTTCTCAGCTGGCCCTTACTGAAACAATGCCTGTAGACTGCAGTAACAGATTAACAGTATTACAGATTTACAGTAACACACCAAAGTTCTGCAAAAAGCTTCATCTCAATTTCATGCCATAATGAATTTATTAACACAACTAAAATAGTCGTTATGAAGGGTGTAAAGTGTAATCTTGCTAAATCTCCAACATTGAAAAGATAAATCGAGACAAGACAAGAAAGAAGAAAAGAAACCAGGGAAAAATAAAGGGGATTGGGGAGATGGGGCTTACATGTATGATTTTTACTATGAATAACATGTAAACTAAACTGTAAAAGGATATGGGACAAAAAAAGAAAGGAAGAGATAAAGCATATTAATGCTAAATCTTGTCATAATATGTTAAAAACTGCGAGGAAATTAAAAGAACATGAAAAGCTGAAGGACAGTTCATTTACAGAGTTCTTTTCTTTCAAGCTGCATTCATACATAGTATCCAACCTCAACTTCAAGTTCGAGTAACAAAGAAAAAGTTAAGTGTAGCAGCCTCAATCAAAATGTTGCTTTTTTGAGTAAAGTGCTGCATAATTATCACTCAATGATTGAGACAGGGTGTGCAAACATAGGCCTAGGCTTCCATATTCCATGATATGAGGGCATTATTACAGAGAAAAGTTTTGAAGGGCTAAAGCCAAGATACTATCCACCCATGAGAAACAACATTTGTCAATTCGCTTGCTGATGATTGGTCTTGTTTTCTATATGAATTCTCCAAAATTATAAGTAGCAGGAAAATATGTCAGTGCTATAGAAAGGTCAGTTCTTTTTCAACAATCAAAGTAAAAAGCTTAAAACCAACTACTGTAATGTTTATCAGCAAAAATCCACAGAAGAGAAAATTTTAGGGAAAACTAGTTCACTCAGACGAGCAACTCTTGGGTGAGAGTGTGAGACAGTCTCACATTCACACTAACTTATTGTGAGATGCTAAAGGTTGTCCTTAAAAAGTTAGTCATCCTTGAAATAGATGAAGTCACCCATACAGTCTAGTACACCATCAACTTATGATGGCATTACAATTTCTTACATACACCCGCTGAAGATCTAAATCTTGCTTGTGGGTGTACACCTGAATTGCGTGGTGTACTAGTGTATGAATACTGAAGATAACTTTTGAGGATCAGCAATATTACTGCCTGACTATTTATTGTACTAAATTGAAAATATCGTAAAATAGGTTTCTGACTGAAGAAATAATTTGTCTTATTAGAATGCAAAAGGTCAAGTTAAAGCAGACAGCCAGACATGCTTGTTGACAAATCGGGGTTGTTGCCATAGATAATAATGAGTAACAATAACACTTTATAATTACTAGAAAATCAGATACACAATAATTCAGAAAACTGAAAAATTTACATAAGCTGCTTCTGTTAATGAAGCTTATAAATAGTAGCCAAAGGAAAGTTAAGTCAAGACATACAAGGACCACTAATTATCTCTAAAGGCGATTTGTAAAAGTAATTGTCACAAGACATATTTCCTAGTGACTTGAACGCATAATAAAGTACTCAAACTGATGTAACCTTACATAGTTACATGCATACTGTAGGTTCAAGCTCCAATTATGACAAACCAAGAACACACAAAAAAGGCGTTGTCTTGGATGATTTCATATTACATAGCAGAAAAAGATAAAACTGAGTCAGGCATCCTTGTTTAGGTCATGCTCTTGAGCCATAAAGACCGAGTAATGATCCAGCAATATTCCAAACCTCTATCATTTGGACGTACAGAAAACACAAGTTGTGATGGTTCCTATTGGTTTCAGAAGGGATTTTGATAGGTTAAGGCATTGATTGTGTCATATCCATCATAAAGCATACCCACATTTCCATCATATCCCATGTAATCCATGTTAGCAGAGTAGGGTGACATGCAGCCAATCTGATTAAGATCATGTTCAATCTCGGAGAAAGTTGCATACGATGAACGTGGAGAATTACCTTGGTGAGGCTGCCATGTAGACATTGGATTCTGAAAGTCGCATTGTGGGATGTAATCAGTTGCCATTCTTTGTCCTCGAGAGAATTCCTGTATTAAGCCATACAACACCAAAGGAACATGTTTCAAAATCCTATCAACCAAGAAAGAAAAGTACATGCAGGAAGCCGGGAAATAAACCACTAATAGCTCTACAAAAGAAACCAAATATTTTACCTTGGAGGAATCAAGAATCAAATCAGGTGAGACCCACATGCTTGGAGACTGCGAGCTCAATGATGCAGTTGTTTCAAAATCTGCCCTTGGTGTGATGTAAGGAGAAGAAATAGAGGTGGAATAGTTGCTGCTGTTGTACTGATTGTCACTGGAGCCACTCAAGAGCTCATTTGAAACATCAGTAGGCATGTACTCTCTATTGCTTGAACTGCTTCCAGCTCTTTTAGATTTCACCTCTTCATTGAAACCGCTCTTTTTAACCACACGACACAAGGCAAAAGCTCCCTGGGAGAAGGAATATCACACAAAGAATTGATATTAGTATATGGTTCATCAGCTGATCAACTCTGTTAGAATTAGGAGATACCAACTGTTCCGAGTTTCTTACTTTAGTATTTGGTGTCATTTCATCACACAGGCGATACTCATGCATCACCCAATCAGTTCTACTTCCTAAAGGAGCACGCCCTTGATAGAAAACAAGGGTCTTCCGGTAGCCAGTCACAGAGGATTCACATACCACTTTACGGTCTTTTCCAGTGGCTTTCCAGTAGCCAGCCCTGGTGGCTCTATTCGAACGTGAGCCATTTGGATACTTCTTATCTCTTGGATAGAAAAAGAACCACTCCATATCGCGTTTGGGAAGAAATGATTTGTCTACAGATCATGCAAAACATATCAAAATGTGAAAAGGGATCAAAGAACTTTCTCTTTTTATGATTATAAATATTTCATAATCATATGCAAAGCAAGTGAAGAATAAAACAAAGCCGATTCAATTGGCTTTAGGAGTAGAAAGTTTGATACCCCACCTAAAAATAATCTAGTATGTAATGAGTAATCTAAAGTATCATTTAAATTCAGCCTAAAAACATGCTTTTTAGCAGGCTTCATTTGAAATTTGATACATAATAGATATGCAATTGACAAAATCTTTCTAGCAATATTAAAAAAAAAAAAAAAAAAAAATATCAACTCTCAGCATCAACTTTTTGAAAAATGAATGGTAATGAGCTAGATTACCTGGTAATTCCCAAGGATCAAACTTATAAAAATCGATCACAGGAATCACTTCGAGCTCGATTTCTAGCCCTTCAACCTTCCTTTTCAAGTAGTAATCAACCAACTCCTCGTCAGTAGGATGAAACCGAAAACCGGGTGGTAATGTCGCACCTTCCATTATAACACTCCTTCTAAAAAAAAGCTCTAATTATCAAGTTAACC